TTTATAATTACAAAATATCAGCTTTTTAATATTAAAATATTATTTTTTATGATCGACATAATTTCTTATGCCTAACATAAATAAATAAATTCTAAACAAAATTCATCCAAAAACACAAAACAAACAAACCCACCATTTATTTTTGAATTTTGGCTTGTTGCAATTTGATCATTCACATTTTATTTTAATGCTATTTTAGTCGGTAAGATCATTAAAAAGAGAATTTTTAATTGTTTGTTGCACTTGAGCTACAAGTCTGGTGAAATTATATATTTAATCTTCGCAATATCCATAAATATTTTCCACTAAAAATATTAAAATATCAATGTTTGGTTTGAATTAGATTTCAAATTTTTATTTAAATATTGATTATATATGATATTTTGTCAAATCGAATATTGCATTTTCATTAATAAATTTGTAATGTTGCATAGTCAAAGATCGGAAAGAGAAAGAGAGAGATCATAAGATGTCTCGTTTAGTATATAATATTAGAAGCTTTAAAAACACAGAAAAAATAAAAACTACTTTCATCCGTTCCAGAATTATAGTCTTAATTGGGTTGCACACGGGATTTAAAAAATATTGATATTATATTGATAGTTAGTAAAAAGTATAAGTAAAAGATCTTTTTGCCCTGGTGAGTGTATTAGTATAAAAAATAGTGACAATTGTGTAATAAAAATAAAAAAAGATAGTTATATGGTGATATAGTTATTTATGGAAATAAAATTATTATTTTGGGACAACAAAAATGATAAACACTTTTGTATTGTGACGGAGAGAGTATTACATTGAACATGTACTAATATTACATCAAAATATTATTTTAGGTCAAACTTTTACCTTTCTTAATATACAAGAATACAATATTTGTTCATTTTTTGTTTTCAGATGGAACAATATAATTCTCCGTAAATATTATAAACAATATGATATATAAGCATATTATCACAATATATAATGTATAGATATTATCTATTTATAAAAGATCAATACAAAATATTATTTTTTATATTATGAACATTGTATTTCTTATCTAATATACTAAAAATATATGCCATGTTGTATAAAAATATATATTGTGTGTTATATTTGTTGAAATTAGCATATATTATACTACGTCCAATTATATAATATGTTATGCTATTGTTACGCACAAAAAATAATAATAATAATAAAAATAAGGATATCAGGTCGGTTGGTCCTCGGTCGGATCGGCAGGTCGGAAGGTCTGCGGTAGGATATCAGGTATATTGGTTAGCGGGTCGGATGGTCCATAGGTCGGAAGGTTTGCGGGTCGAAAGATCTGCGGTCGGATAGTCAGGTCGGTTGGTTAGCGGGTCGGATGGTCCATAGGTCGGAAAGTCGGCAGGTCGGTTGGTCAGCAGGTCGGATAGGCAGGTCGGTTGGTCAGCGGGTCGGATAGGCAGGTCGGTTAATCAGCAGTCGGTTAAGCAAGTCGGTTGGTACGTGGTTGAACCAAGTGAAGTCGGCTGCCCACTTAAGTGAACAGTAGTTTGGTCGCTTGGTGGGGGCGGCCAAGGAGTCTTTTGGGCACTGAATTAGTCGGTTGATGTAACTGACCAGGCGACGGTTCCAAACAGTTCTTTTGGGTGGTTAATGGCGGTTGTTGTAACCGACCAGGCGACGGTTTCAAGCGTTTTTTTCAAAGAATATTTAAAGATTTGGATTTTTTTGGAGAAGGCATCTTCAATCAACTTCAACAAAGCAAAGTCAGATTCGGGGATCACCACTTTAAATTTCAGCATTTAATTTCTAGTTAATTTCTTTTGTGTACCGTACAGTGTTTAGAGATTTCTAATCTCATACGCTAATTAATCAAGTTTAAGGATATTTTCCATATCTTTAAATTTTACTTTTTGTTTGTTGAAAAAATACATCTACATCAACCGCTATATATTGTATTAACATTTATTATGCGAGTTATACATTGAGTTGTATTATATAATCTTTTTTTTTGTACTATTATGCTAAAATCAGAATATAATGCGTTGAAAATCATAATTATATTTTAGGCAAAATAGCAAAAAACTCCATGTGGTTTTCCGAATTTGCTGAAAACCCCTTGTGGTTTTAAAATTCCAAAAAATCTACTTGTGGTTTCCAAAATGTTGCATACTCCTCCCTCTCTAAATTTGACTAATGGATGTTAAATTTTATCATATTTGACCGTTATATCCTTATTTATATATATTTTAATTTATTTCTCCCTCTTCTCTTCTCTTCTTTTTCTCTTTTCCCCAACAGCACAGATTCTTCCATCTTTTTTCCCAAATTCTCTTCACATGCGCACCAGGTTTTTCTTCAATTTTTTCTTTTTCTTCCCCAATTCTTTTTAACACCACTGCAGCCCGACCCGGTTCTTTCTTTTCTTCTTTTTCCCCATATTTTTTTCCTTATTCTTCATCTCCAATTTTTCTTTGAAGAATGAAGAATTGAAAAATAATAAGAAGAAAAAGAAGATGACAGACATAAGTGGGCTGGAGCAGGGAAGAAGGAAAGAAGAGAAAATGAAGAAGAAAGAAAGAACAAGAAGGTTGGACCATATTTTTTTTTTCTCCAATTTTTTTTCTTCTTTCTCTCTCTTTTTTTTTTCTCAATTTTCTTTTTTTTTTTTAATTTTTCCTCTCCAATTCTTCTTTTTTTTTTTTTTCTTTTTTTTTTTCTCTCTCTCTTTTTCCCCAATTTTTTTTCTTTATTTTTCCTCTTTCCTCAATTCTTTGCAAGAAGTAGCACTTCTTTCCCTTCTTCTAAAATTGATTTATTAAATTTCTGGGTTTGGTAAAATAGAAGAAGAAATTGTTAGTATGGAGAAGAATAAAGAAGAAAAAATAACAAGGAAGAAGAAAGAAAAAGGAAGAAGCAGCCCTAAAAAATAATTAGGGTATTTTAGTAATTTTATACAGAAATATATCAGATAAAAATTGAATAGAAGGCGCGTGAAATACAACCGTTGTTAAATTCTAATGGAGGGGGATTCTTTGTAACATTTTGGAAACTAGAAGTAGGTTTTTTTGGAGTTTTAGAACCACGAAGGGTTTTCAGCAAATTTGGAAAACCACAGGGGAATTTTTTTTACTATTTTGCCTATATTTTATTACATGTAATTATATAATTTTCTATTAAGATATTTACTATATATTATATTAATATGTACTAATTTCATAAATATTTATTTATTGAGTCAAAACACATGGTAACCAAGCGTTTAATATATGTGATAATGAATTTTCATGCAATACTTTTAGGCCTAACAATTAATCTTATAAGGAGTAACACTGAATAGCTAAATAAAGTCATCCACAATTTTAGGATATTGGTGGATGGAGGAATTGAAACACAAAAATAACAAATTAAGCAAATTCTTTTGGAGAGTGAGTATTTTTTTTAATGATTTGAATGTGATTTTTTAGTTAGAGGAGATAATACTTTTTCCATTCACTTATATATACATATTTTTATTTCAAATTGTCCAATTACAAAATAATTATTTCATTTTTTTTTTTAGTAAATGTGAACCTCACTCCACATTATACATATTCTTATTTTATACTTATTTACATAAATATCGTTACATTTATCCACACATAAGGATATATTTGTCTTTTCATACCAAAACTACCACCTATTATCATTAAAATACAATTTTTTTTAAACTACGTGACAAAAGTAAATGTTTACTTTTAAAATTGACAAAAAAAATATATTTTTATAGAAAATTTTAATAAATGTATAGTATAAAAAAAACAAAAATTTGAAAACTTTCATGTATTTTAATCAAAATTATAACCTAAATATTACAAAATCACATCTCATTTCACAAGTAAATTAAACTTCTAAATATCAAAATAAAATAATTTTAGCAAGTCTTGTAAAAAATAATCTGACGGTGTGATGACGAAATATAACAAATAAAATTAGTTTGGTTATTTTGTTAGACTTCAGCAATGTGTAGAACATTCTTTTTGTCCAATGTATATAAGTGTGTAGAGATACATTATGTTAGTTTTGTAGATTGATACCAATGATCCTTTTTCTATATATATATATATATATATATTTTCTTGAGCTTTTTACTTCAATATACAAAATTCTCAATTTAAAGGAATTCCTTTGCTCCATTGTTTTTTCTTTCCCCTCAATTTCCATTTCATTGGATATCTTATCATATTTTTGGATGAATTTTTAATATGGTATCAGAACTATGAATCTCATTCTAAAGTGACACAGACTCAAACTTGGCTAAAAGAAATTCTAATACTTTGATAGGTTAATACTTTGATAGGTTAAGAACATGAACTCTACATTCTTCATACTTCCCAATGATAGATATGGATATGTTCCCGTGGAACCGGAGCTAACATGACCAAATTATCATGCTTGAAGTAAGTCCTTTAAACTTGCGCTATCGATCAAAAATAAATTAGGTTTTATTGACGGTGCGCTCCTTAAATTTGGTTTTTATGAAGCCACATATGCATCGATCATGAATACGCTACAATGACTTGATAGTTGTATAGCTCCTAAAATCACTATCACCACAACTTGCTTCTACTGTATTTTATATACAAAGTGCACATGAAATTTGGAATGTCTTGAAAACGGAAATTATAGTTCTATTAATAATTTGTTTGTCCTCCACATTGACATTTCGACCACCCGACTCGCAAGCTACGCAAGACTGAATGTGCCGGAATTAGACTGGCTTCATAGGTCCATACGAGTCCTTCCAGGGCGTTTTTTGTTTTCTAGAGCAAGCACGCTTAACTTTAGAGTTTTTTTCCGTAAAACTCACGAAGAGGAATGTGCACATTGTTGACATAAGTAATCTATTCAATCAATTTAATCTCTATTCAATTTTGAATAGTTTAGCACCAGCTCATTCATACACGAGAGTTGGCCTAGCACCAGCCCAACTCCGGAGGTATCACAGACATGTCATAATTTTATTTCGGAGAACAGAGCGAGTAATGAAATATAGAAATAGAGAATTTGATTCCCCGACTAAGATGAAAACAGCCTTATTTCTTCATTTAATGCTCACATTTTTATCACTAAATGAAACTTTATTATTTTTGTTCTAATACAAATTGATAAAGAAATCAATCACTCAAACATCGATCGCATCCTAGTAATTCATGTCGATTAAACACGACCAATTATTATTATTATGTTGTTGAACATTTGAATTCACAGCCATCCATTTTGCTTGCAACATTGAATAGCATCATCGAACATTTCTGCAACCCCATATCTATACTTGAAACCAAGCTCCAATAGCTTCTTGCTCGAAAGCCCTCCAAAGTTTGCCGCCGGATTAATTAAACCTCTGCAACATTAACACACATAGGTACATATATAGCATCACAACCAATCAAACTTTTATCATATACTCTCTCCGTCATATATAAAAAACTATGGTCATATCGTTGGACTCGGATTTTAATAAAAATGAATACAAATAATTATTTTTTTCTTTTATAATAAAAAAACTACAAAAATTGTATTATTTCTTACTAAAAAAAACAAAAATATTTTTTTTATGACAACCAAAAAAGAAATATTGACATAAATTTATATGACAAATGAAATATATGTTATAGCGAGTAATTGAACTTACTCGGGATCGAGCAACTTAAGGTGAGGATGCCTCGATCTAAGATGATCAACCATCTCCTCGACCGTGACTTCCACAGCCGAGCAAATGTATCTTCCTTTGGCATCCGGATGCTCGAACAAATATATGTGTGCCTCGGCGTTATCATCCGTATGCACCATAGGGGTGATCTTCGCATACTTCATCTGGTTCTCGTTGCCTGTATGCAATTTTCAAAAACCAATATAATTATATATATATATATATATATGAAATTAATTTTTGACACATGAGTAAATCAATCTTTTGCAATCAATAAAATGTCTTGACAATGAGGTTTGTTTCTTTAAGGTGTTCCAAAAATTATTTTCTTCACACTATCAAATCACATACTTATTTTGTTTATTTAATTTATTTAATATTTCATAAGTTGATTGGTTAATAAATAATACTAATATTTTATAGGTGATATGTAAGGGATAACTGAACAAATATTATAATACCTTTGGTCCTACTAACCCACGTTTAATAGAAACATGTTTTAAGAGAATAGTTTTGTACTTTTTTATAAAATAATTGGCATGATTTTAGAGAATAAGTGCATTTTCTTTTTAACTTCTTTTTTCTTTTTTCCTTTTTTTTTTTTTTTTTTCTTTTATGTAGGAGATAAGTGTACAAAGATTAGGAGTGTCTTCTTTTAACAAGATTTCCAATTATCCAAAACATATTTTTTTTAAAAAAAAATATATATATAAATTAATATATTACACACATTCATTCTTTTTTAGTAGTACAAACAATATTTAATAAAAAAATGTGTTCTAAGATAATAATTTGATAGTTTTTTATGAAATGATTGGGATAATTTATTAATATTGTAGGGTGGCATGTACAAAACAAAAAGTATATAACTAATATGATTAATATAAATTAATATAATAAAAAAAAGAAAGAAAAATTGGATATATGTATATAGTAGAGAAATTGAATTATTAATTATAAGTTTTACTTTTTAAAGAAAAATGAGGAATATAAAAAAATACTCTGCAAATTTATTGAAGTTAAATTTATTTATTTTTGTAATAATATCACATTTAATTTATTTTTAATTTAAAAATGATCTTAAAAAATTGTGATATTCAATGCGTATAATATTATAAACATAGTCGTAGTTTGAAATTGATATGAAATGAAATATTAATTTAATTTATTTTTTATTTAAAATTAATTTTAAAAATAATATTCAATGCATATAATATTATAAATATAGTTGTGGTTTGAAATTGATTTGAAATAAAATATTTATTTGAATTTTTGTTTGAATAGTATTTTAATTTGATATTTTATAAAAAAAAATAATATATTTTATTGAGAGTGAACGGTGGTAATTTTAATTAAAATGAAATTAGAACCAAACAACTTAAAAAAATTTCCTGGCTCGACAGACGGTCACACTAGGCAAACCATGACGTCGGGGTTTGACGGTCACACATCGAACCCCTACACTACCAGACTTCATTTTTCCCAATATAAAAGTTTGCCCATGTTCTTTTATAAAAAATATAACATTCATTTTTTATGATAAATTTAAAAAATAATAAAAATATTTTACCCAAAATACTTCTACAATTTTCTATAACGGAAAACAAAAGAATTTCACTATTCTTGACCCAACCTCTATTTCCAAAATAAACATATGATTTTGTTAAAAACATGTGTTGGAATACATTATAACACGTTTTAAACTATTTTTAAAATAGTAAATGGTTTATTAATATTTTGAATATAATAGTTTTGTTTAAAAATTTCTCATAAACATAAAGAGACAAAACATGTGATTATGTTTTAATAGAAACCTATAAAGTACTAAAACTATAATAACTAATATATTTTTTTTAAATTATTTTTATCTTTTATAGACAAAAGTATTTATTTTCCGTAAAATAATCCTATCTAAATAACCTAACTTTAGGGAATGAGGGTGTAACACAACGGTGAAGCCCTCAACCCCTTCACCTTTAAGTCGGGGGTTCAGTTCCCGTATACATAATAGTAGTATATTTGTCATTTAAATAAAATTTGATGATATTTTGGTATGTATTAGTGTAATTATTACTTTTATTAAAATAAATATTTATGAGTGAAATAGACGAAAATAATAAAAATATTATTTTAAGCGTACCAATGATGAGTCCGAGAGACGAGTGAATCGAGGACGGGAGATGCGGACAAATAAACGGTCCGTTTATCCACGACGGAATCACCGTTACGAGATCTAATCCGCGTTTCTCCGCGTACTCAATAGCAGCCATTTCTGCCACCGTTTTTGAAATGTAGTAGCCGGCGCCCACAAAGTCGAGTTGTTTCATAAATTCCACGTCGCTCCACGCCTCCTCGTTCAGCTCCGCCGCAGCTCCGCGATCTCTCGCGAAAACTGCCGAAATGCTGGAGGTGTACACCACCCGCTTAACGGTCCCGGAGTCGATGCACAACTGCAAAATCCCGTGTATTGCTCGAATCGATCTTTCCGTGATCATTTCCACAGATTCAGTCCCGACTAAATCCATCGGATGCGCCACGTGGAACACCCCGACGCAGCCTTCGATCGCCGGCTTGAAGCTCTGCGGATCGCCGAGATCGGCGGCGAAGATTCGAAGATTTTCTCCAGCGTGTGGTAAATTTGTTAGAAATCTGGTGTCGATATTTGTGTCTGAAATAATCATTCTGAAGTCGTTGAAATTCTTGTTTTCGAACAAAATTGGATAATATAATTTAAAGGGACTGTGCTGTTTTGACCAAGTTAGCACACTAACTTGAAATAATTAATATTTCGACAATTGGTATATGTTGTCTTATATAGAAAACATGTGTTGTGTGAGTGATAAATTGTACTCTCTTCGTCTCATATAAGGTGCAACATTTGCTTTGAGCACGAATTTTTAGATGAGAAGTATTAAATAAGATAATTTTAAAATCATGTGATGTGACGGAGATATAAATGTATATATTCTTTTTTATTATTGAAGTGATGTGATGGGATAGATGTGTGGTAGAGATTAAGTACAATTAATTATTTTTTATTTTAAAAATATTGCAAAATGTTTGGGACATACCGAAAAAAAAAAAAAAAATTGTTGTAAAATATTTGGGACAGAGATAGTACTATATTGCATATTCTGCTTATTTGGCTAAAATTGGTATATATTATACTATATTGAATTATATATAATATGATTTCAAACTGTCCTCCCTTCTTTTACTAATAGTTTTCTCATTTATTTTTGGCACGCGAGTTTATAGGTATATTAGTATTTTATTGAAGTGCAGGATAAATGATATATAAAAATAATTATTTTTATTTTTTAGTATAAAAGTAATAATATAATAATAAAATATATTTTTGAATGTATGTGATATAATTTTACTAAAAAATAAAAAGATTTTAGTTGACAAACTAAAATAAAATAAAATAAAAAAATTAGAGTGCACCGAGAGAATAATATATATATACATTATATTTTTATTGTGTGAAGGTGCACATTCGGCGTGAGGGTCATACTGATTTGATCGGATTAGCATATACCATATGGATGATCATTATATATTTATATATAGTACAATATATGATGTTATAAGAAAGCATACTATATTATAATATAATATATATTATATTATAAATATTCTGATATATATATAAATATAAGCTAGTCACTAGTATAGCATGTATGTTGATTCAGTCAAATCAACGTCATGGTTAAATTGATCTGATCAACAATTGATGCATGATGTGAAATATATATTATATTATATAATTTATTTAATGCGCTAACTCTTAATATTAGTATCTAATATATATATATATATATATATTTAGCGTTGATTTTGTATCACCACGTTAAAACGTTGGTTTTTTCTTTTCTTTTTTTTTTTTAATTTTAAATTTTCAGATGGTGGGTCCCACCACAAATATAATATTTTTTAAAAATTTTTAGATGGTGGGTCCCACCACAAGTGTAATATATAATTAAGTTTTTTTTTTAATTTTTCAGATGTGTGTCCCACTACAAATATAATATTTGTTAAAAAATTTAGATGGTGGGTCCCACTAAAAAATAATATATAATTAAATTATATTTGATTTCTTAATTAATTAAACGTCTTTAAATAATATTCACTCCGTCCATTTTTTATTATTCTAAATTATATTTGTATGATTTTTTAAGTAATTATTTAACCAAAAAAAATAAATTGAGGATATTACAGTGGAGTAAGTAGAAAATTGGTGACAAATTTGATCGTTATTTGTTTAAATAAGGATAATAAAATTGTGAATGAATAAATTTTTATTATAAATAAATTATGCATAAGCTTGACGGATAAAAAATGTAACATAATTATTTCGATCGGAGAAAGTATTTTATAATTTAATTATATTAAAATGACAGTAACAAATTAATAAAATTTGACTTTTTTTTTGTTCCGATATCTTAAATTTTTTATCGACATAATTTTCAACTAAATTATAATTTTAAAAATTTCTTATAAAAATATAAATAAATACCACTAAATTATATATAGACATTATTTTTGCAATATATATTTAATCGATAAAATCTATTAATTTTTAATATTTTGAATGCTAAAAAATTAATCGTGTAAAATATTTTAATTTATTCAAATAATTTTCATATTAAAATTTTATATATATTTAATAACAATAATTAATTTTAATAATTTAATAAAATTTATAACTATAGTATATATATATATATATTATTCAAGACAGATCACCAAAAGTGATTCACCACGTGTTAATTCAATAAAAACGTGTTAATTCAATAAAAAAGATTCTACACGCTTCTTAGTTAATAATATTAAAAAATACAATATATATAATATATATTTTATATATTCATAAAAAAAAAAGAAAAAAAAAATCAATTTTGATTTTAATGTCACTTTCATTAATCACTAGTATTATGAATTATAATAAAATTGTAAGTAAATATAGTCAGACACAAATATATATATTTTGCTATTTTTTTCATTTTTTTTTTAGTAAAAATATTTTTCAATTAAATATCAAAATATCAATTGTTTTAATCTCTCTAATATTAAGAATAAAGTAAATTTTAAACTATTCTAATAATTTTATTTTTTTTTATGAAGTGGGAACCGCAGCCGCGAACCATGTGTGGCAGGCGGCCTGAGGTATCGGGAGTTTGAACCCATGACTTCACGATTACAAATTCAATCCTTACACCACCAGGTAATCCCTTACGGGGCATTCCTTACCAGACAAATAATTTTATTTTATTTTTTTAATAAAACAAAAACAAAAACAAAAATCCCAAAATTAAAAAAAAAAAAAAAAAAACACTCGATTTGTGCTTCATTAAGCTATTAATATGATTTATCCAATAACTTATTTATTTATATATTCTCTACTTTGTCAAATTATCTATTTTTTTATTTTGATATATTTTATAACAAAGTATATATATATAATTTTTTTTTTAAGTAAATGCACAATTTATCTAATATTACAAATACTTTTATAATTTATAATATATTACATAAATGATATTATTTTGTATCATACAATATTAATAAAATTAATTTAGTCTTTTTATCTTTATTTATATTATATTCCAATATAATACTAATTCTACTAAAACTCAGTTAAAAAAAAAATGAATATATAGATAAAAGACGGAAAGAAGTATTTATTTTGTAAAAAATGGAAGAAATGAATTTGTTGGAGATGAGGAAGATGGAGAAGGCAAAAATGGAAAAGCTCAAAACCTCGAAGAGTGGCGTTGACAGAGTAGCCACGTTGAAGAAGCTTCATGATCAACCACGACGCCACGAAGCCTTCTCCTCCACTTACGCAAACAGATCTCTTCTTCTTCCTCTCATCTTCTGCATCTAATTCCATGGCTGAATTTATCATTAATCTTCTTCTCACCTGCAACCAAATCTGTTCATATGTTGCTTCGAAGAAGAAGAAGAAGAAAGGGCCACAGAAGTACCTTCTCGATCGATCTGACTTTCAATCATATATGAATTCTCTCCCTCCTCACTTAAATATATTTACTTTCTCCCGTCCCGGTGAAAGATTGTCGTTTACTTTTTACATACTCTCTTCATCTCAATACAATAGTCTTGTTTACCATTTTTGTTCGTCCCAAAACAATAGTTTCATTTTCATAAATAATCATATCACCGTAAAATTATCCATTATTTTTCATTATTATTACACAATTGCCACTACTTTTTACACTAATATACTCACAAGGGCAAAAAAGTAATTTACTCTTACTTTCTACCAACTCGTGCTCAATACAACAAGACTATAATTTTGAGACAAACGGAGTATAAATTTTTTAAATTAGTATTATATTTGATTGCAGTGAAAAAGAAAAAATACCCCTAGTATTGTGTAATATAAAAGTAATAGCACTTGTGTAATATAGTGTAAGCTGGAAGGGTATTTATTATGTTATGTAGCTAGTACAATTACTAAATTAGGAAATAATAACCTTATTTTGAGACGGACGAAAATAAAAAATGACAACATTTCAATGGGACAGAGGGAGTATATTCCGTGTCTTTAACAATTTATCCATTTTTAGTATATCCCATAACAAAGTATCCATTTCCCTTTTTAGTTATTGTATTATCTACCTAACATTATAAATATCCTTCCAATTTAGAATATATTACACAAATGTCATTACCTTTATATCATTTAGTTTAATATTTTTAATTTTATTTCTAATACATCCTAATAAAATACTAATATTTCTAACACTACGTGCAAAAAGTAAATAAATAAATATATATGAGACGAAAAGAATATATATGTATTTTTTTGACAATTTTTTATAGTAAAATAATTATAAATTATCGTTAAAATAATTTTTTAATTTTTTTATATAAATTACAAATATATTATTATATGTATAATTAATTTACATATAAAGAATATAGAGTAAAAATTTTAAAATTATTTTATACATTTTCATTAATAAATAAAATATTAATATTTCTTAATCTGTATATAATCTTTATTTTATATATTTTAACTTTACACTTGTTTACATATTTATATATATTATTAAATATTTCTATATTACATTATAATCAACTAATATAATATTCTCTTCTTTCAGCTTTAACTGTATATATATATATATTTAGTAATTATGACCTTACTATTTTATATAAATACTCTTATTTTATCATCATATCATTATTCTTTTACAAAAAAACTAATGGTAAAATTTTTTTTACACTATTTTAACTATTTTCAGCTTTAACGTATATATATTTTTAGGTGGGACGAAGGAAGTATTTTAATTCCTCCGTCCCGCCACATATGATCTTTTTTTTTTACTTATAAAATCTATTTAAAATCCCTTTATTTTTATATCCTCTCAATAAACAAATATTTATATATATATTTATTTATTTAAAACTTCATATTTTTTATAAAATTATTCTATGTTAATTATAGATAAATAAATATATTTTATTAATTTATTTGTATTATATAAAATTTTATTACTTATAAAATAATTTGATATTATACACTCCTCTATTTCGACTAATTTGTCTCATTTAGATTACGCACGAAATTTTAGGTATTGTGTAATTAGTGAGTAATTAAGAATTGTATTAGTAAAAATAATTATAATTTAATACAAATAAATTTATATTAAAATTAAAATGATTAAATAGTTTAATTAAAATAAAATAATTTTAAATTTTAAAATGCGATTAAAGTGTATAATTGTATTTTCCAAACAAAAAAAAAACAAAATTATGTAAGACTGAAGGAAATATAGCAAAAAGAATATATTTTATTGAATATAGTATTTAAGATATTTGAACTCCTATTTTAAATTTATTTTAATCATATATATTAATTTTTATTTAAAAATATTAATAATACCATTATATAAAAATTAATAAAATAATATTATAATTATTATAATTAATATATTAAATTATATTATTACCTAAAATACAATATCCCTACCAAAAAGATCATCTAACGTGTGACGGATAAAGTACTCCCTCCGTTCATTTTTTAATATCTTATTTGATATTTATACACAATTTTAGATAATTAAGGTCTTTGTTATAAAATGATAAATTTATCCTTAATTTTGTGTATAGAAAATGATAAAATAAATAAAATAAGGATAAAAGAGTAAATTTTATGTATAAAAATAAAAAATAGATAATAATTATTGGACATTCTAAATAAAAAAATCGTACATTAGTTTATGATAGGAGGAAATATTTATTAAAACAGTACCACATAAATTATGTAGGGAGCTTAATTGGTGGGTGAGGAGTGGACTTTTCATCATGTGGTACGTCCCATCAATATCAATAATATATTGTCACGTGGTTTGGGCTTCTTCCACAAAATTTTTGGAATATTTTATTTTTAAAAATATAAAAAAATTACTCTTAATTTGATTATTTTATAAAAACAAAAGGATTTTTTTGTTTAATATTTTAATTCGAATAATTTATTTGTATTCGAAATATAAAAAATTATTTCGTTAATATAAAAAAATAATATTTTATATTAAATGTTAATTATTATAAGATAATAAAATAATATTGAAAATCGTGTCAAAAAAAATTTAAAACAAACAAATTTAACTATTTAATACTTTTTCCGTCTACTCTGCATATCTATCTATTTACTTTTTGCGTATATTAAAACATAATACTCTCTCCGTCCTATATCTATATATCAATTTGCTTTTTGCACGGAGTTTTAGAAATATTAGTATTACATTGGAATAAAGTAAAAATAAAGATAAAAAGACTAGATTAACCATGTTAGTATTATATGATATAAAGGTAATAAGATTTGTGTAATATATTTTAAATTGAAAAGATATTTGTATAATATATTGTAAATCCATAACCTACCCCGGAATATATTATTTAGACCCAAACCCGCCCCATTAAAAACGGGTCCGGGGCGGATCCAGGCTAACCCGCCCCATTTGAGATCCCTAATTCAGTATACTACGTTTGTCCACTTAAATGTAATTTTGTATTATTTTTATATATCCTAGTTTAAATGTATTAATTTTTTATTATAATAAAAAAATATTTTTTTCCTAAATTCACTTTTTCCGTTACTAATGATATTAGAGACGGAATTAGAGATGAAATTACATTAGCTACGTGAACTTTAGGAACGAAATTCCGTTACAAATATACTATTTTCTTGTAGTGATATATTAATATTAAAATATTCTTAATTTTTATATAAATTATAAATATATTATTGCATATACAATTTGTATATAATAAATGTAATATACGTATCCTGAAAGAGATGGACTATCAGACCTAGTTTGTGGTACGTATCTTGACTATTACAAAATTTTATAATATTTTGACTATTATAAAGCCAATAACTCAACAATATTAATTACAAATTCTAAAGGTAAATAATATAAAAGTAGAAAAAAAAAAAATTTGTTATAGTTTATTAGAATAAGAATTTAATTGAGTAATTGTAAAAAGAAAAAAATATATGAAATAAAATTTAAATTAAATTTTAATATATCTAATATAATTATGGACTTTATAAATATTTACGAATTATAAAGGCGAGGAAGATGAAATTATAGAAAAATTCTGATTATAATTTTATTTTAGAATAAAAATAAATTAGGTAATTGTTGAGAAAATTGTGAGATAAAGTTTAAAATAAATTTAAATATATCTAATAATAGCTAAAATGTAAAATTATGGGTTCTTCTTAAAGTAGAGGCCTTGAACAATTGTTCAAGTTGCTCTCGCAAAAAGCCGGCTCTGACTTTTAGATATAACAGTTAATTAAGCTCTACTGTCAACAAATGTCTAAAAGAACGATGGGTAGAATTGTATTTCTTAGTTATAATGAGATAGCAATATGACACATTAGCAAAGACATTAGCCTTGTCGGATCTAAAAGTTTAAATTTTTAAAGATCCACAATCATTAATTATTTATTCGCACATTCCGTAAAGAATGGTCTGGTGGTACGAGGGCGAACTTGTGACTATAAAGTTATGATTTCAAACTCCCGACGTCTACAGATCCACCTGCTATACATGGTTCGTTTATTGTGATTTGCTTACAGGAGGTTTACCCAATACCCAAAACACACTCAACGAGTAACGACTCCGAGTTCTCGCGTTATAAAAAAAAAAAAAAAAAAAAAAAAACAATGCAATACTCATTCCATCTTTCACATAGTATAGTTTTAAAGATGAAATATAAAATAACATAAAATATTGATATAATATAATATAACATATAACCTAAGAGTATATGATAATAATACATATAATATATGTCATCGTAAATTTTTAACGTATATTAAAACAACATAATATATAATATAGGCAAAAATATTTATAATTCATCTGTTATTTTGAAAAGTATATATCATTCTCTCTTATAATTTAAAAATTATATGAAGTTTCCTTATGTTTTTAAAATGTTATATAAAATTCATTTTTAGAGTATTATGTACAATATTTAATTTAAACATTTAAAAATTTTGGTTCAAATATCTCAAATATTTGAAAAAGTTAAAACGACAAAAAATTAAATAAAATATTGTTTGTTATGAAAATTAAATAATATATATATATAAATTCCGGCCCTGTCAAATTTTTTTGGCTTCGCAATTAGCAGCACATGCTAATAATATATACAACAAAGACTATTTAAACAACCACGATTAATATATATGAAAATGTGTTAAGGGTGTGTTTGTTTGAAGGATTTTGGTGACTTCTATTCATTTTATTTTTTTTCCTTAAAAATATCAAATCAAACATCTATTTTTCTTTTTTATATTATACTAAAAATTAATTTTACATTCAAAATATCACATCAACACATATTTATATCAGATTATACAACTATTCAAATTCAAAATTTTTACTATTCAAATTCCTACTCAAAATCCAAACCCCCAAACAAACACACCCTAAATAGATCTAATTTTATACGAAACTCAATAATTATTTAAAATTCAAATTCGAAATTCAAACCCTAAATAAACACACACTAGTGTTTTTACTAAATTATTTTCCCCATATCTTTATGTCGATTCTCCAAATATTCACATATCTTCGTATGATTATCCTAATCCTAATATTCGCATATTAAACAATAGCTTTAGAAGTAATTATTTTGGTTATTTATTTATTCTTTTTTAAATTGAAAAAAATAGTGTTCAAAGTCTAGAAAGATGTTGAAATTTTAGATGATCTTTTCATTTTAAATATTATACTCCATCCGTTTCGAAATTATAGTCTTGGTTGTGTTGGGCACAAGATTTAAGAAATATTGATATTATATTAATAATGAGTAAAAAAATATAGGTAAAAGACATTTCTGCCCTTGTGAGTGTATTAGTGTAAAAAGTAGTGGCAATTGTATAATAATAATGAAAGAATATGAGTAGTTATATAGTGATATAGTTATTTATGAAAATAAGACTATTATTTTGGGACGAATAAAAATAGTAAACAAGACTATTGTATTGGGACGGAGGAAGTATAAAGTTTGTTCATCCAACTAATTTTTTATTGACGCAATTTTCAATATATAACATCTATATTCTTTTTAATCACAAAAATTAATAATTCAACAAAAAAATAGTATTTTTTATATTAACGATATCTTACCTCAAAAAAAAAAAAACACTAAACAAACAAACTTAATGATATTCAGTTTGTTCATTCAGCATTTCTCAATGGAACAATTTTCTATAAATATTATTAAAAAATACAAATATATACACATATTGGTATAATATATACATTATCTACTCATAAAAAATCAACCGTTCAAAATAAAATATTATTTTTTAAATTACTAACACAATTATCTCTACCACACAAAAAATCAGTTCATCTAAAAACGAAGAGTGAAAAGACTTATGATAAAAATATTGATTTAATAAAAAATAATTAAATTTGAATCTCTAAATATATTAATACAAATAAAATAATATGTTTGTAATAAATAAAATATAGTTTATTATTAATACAAATAATTTAAAATAATATAGAATATATATAAATATATTTTATCCGTCCCACGTAAATATCTAATATTTTCATTTCAGTCAATCTCACATAATTTGTACTTTTTTTAAGAACATGATTCTACCCTTTAATCAATTTTATAATCTATAATTTTATAAATTTTAATTAAATTATTTAATTATCTTAATCTATACTTATTCGTATTATACAATAATTATTTTTATTAATATATTTATTAATTACTCATTAATTATAATCTTTCTAAATTCTTTTGTATATAGTTAGAGGCGGATTTAGAAATATTTTTTTACTGGTGGCACAATAGATAAATTAAAAATAAAATAGATTAAAATAATAATATTAATAAATAAATAAATAATTGTTGGTAATAAAAAAATTATAATATATTACTTCATATGTCCCAACTCAAAGTATCGTTTTTCTTATTTTTGTATGTTTCACTCAAAAATATTTATTTTTTATTTTTTAAAAAATAATCATACAATAATATTAAAATACTCTTAACTTTTATTTAAATTACAAACATATCATTATACATACAATTATTTTATATATAACTCAGTATTTTACACTTATAAAAATAAAAATATCAAAACTATTTTGAAGTAAATATATACTCCTTTTTTATTGGAACAAAGGGAGTACTTAAATTAAAAGTTTCAAATATAAGTTATCAAAATTTTAAAAATGTATATTTTTTTAAATTAGATTAGATAATTTAGAAACTATAAATATAATCAATAAATTTAAAAAGTTTAATACATAAATAAGTTTATATTATAGGCTCCTCTTTTAGGTAATTTTTATCATTTAAAATTTACTTTTAACGAGTTTAACGAGTGAGAATCCATGAATAAATAGTTTTGGTGACTTTTTTTATTTAAATAATAAATTATATAAGATATTTTGTAATATCATACTTTAGTATAAACTTTTAAAAAAATTATAAAAATCAAATACTTGATAAATTAAATTTGATAGTTTTTAAGATTGAAATAATATGATTTAAAAATTATAAAAATTAAACAATAAAAAAACTTTAAAAAATAAAAATAAATATACTACATTAAATATTCATTTTTCTCCGGAGAAAACAGATAAATAAAAATAATTTATTACTTAAATTCAATTTCTCTGACTCAAATAATAATAGAAATAACATTATTTTTATTTTCCTACTCTCAATTCTTTGTACAAGATCCTAAATTCTCAAACTTATAAAGAATTCAACCATACAAACATAGATAGCATCCCAATAATTCATGCATATTATGCACAACTATTATTGTTATTACTTCCTCTGTCCCGGCTACGGTATCCTTTGTAATGTAGACACGATAATTTATAACAAATATAATTAATTAATAATTAAGAATGTATTAGTAAAAATAATTATCGTATAAAAACCTAATTTTAGATTAAGATTAAGATACTAATTAGACTAATTAAAACTAAAAAAATTAAAATGAGATTAAAGTGTTTAATTCTTTTTAAAAAAAAAGTGACAATAAATACAACAGACGAAAATAAAAAGATGGACAACGGAGAAAGTATTATTATTATTATTATTATTATTATTATTATGATGAAATATTTGAATTCATAGCCATCCATTTTTCTTGCAGCATCGAATAGCATCATCAAACATTTCCGCAATCCCATATTTATACTTGAAGCCAATCTCCAACAGCTTCTTGCTCGAAAGCCCCTTGAAGTTTGCTGCTCGATTAACCACACTTCTGCAACATTAATTAGCACACATCGATCGATCATGGCTACTCTAATCGAGCTTTTAACATAATGCAATAGTGAGGAATTAATAGATAAACTTACTCGGGATTAACCAATTTAAGGTCCGGATGCCTCGATCTAAGAAGATCAACCAACTCCTCGATTGTGACTTCCACGGCCGAGCAAATGTACCTTCCTTTGGCATTTGGATGCTCGAAAAGATATATGTGCGCCTCGGCAGTATCGTCGGTGTGCACCATAGGAGTGATCTTTCCATATTTGATTTGGTTCTCATTTCCTATATACATGAACAAAATATATAAATGTACATTCTCAAAATACCAAGATTTTATAGAAGGAGAAAAATCGAAATAAAGGAGAAGAAATAATAATAAGAATTTTATTATTGAGAAAGAATTCGAGTGGGTACACACAAAATTTGCTCGATGCTACAAGCTTTGATCTCTTTGAAAAAAAATTCTATAAAATTATTATGATTTTTTTATAAAAATATATTATGTTTGTCTGTCAATTTTTTTTTATCTTTTTTATTTTCGTCAGTTAAATTTAACTAATTGCAAATTTTAGCAAAGTCAAATATTTAACATTGAACTATTACCTTATATTTAATATTTATTTACTATAATTGTTACTATATTTATTATATTTTTTTCATTCTTTTTAATTACTAACTAAATTTTAAAAAACAGCATCAACTACACTTTTACTTTTTAATTTTTTTCAATAATATATTCATTTTAAAAAATTTTGTGCTTAGTCCAACGAGACTAAGTTTTGCGGCCGGAGATACTATTATTTTTCTTTAAAAAAAAAGTATAACACCAAGTCCACAATGAAGAATGCTCTGATTTTGATAAAATCTTACTATTTATCCAAAAAAATTTCCTCCAAAAACATCTAATTTTATTTTTTATATTATACTAAAAATCAATTTTACATTCAAAACATCACATCAACACCTATTTATATCACATCATACAACTATTCAAATTCAAAATTTTTACTATTCAAATCCCAACTCAAAATCCAAACCCCCAAACAAACACACCCTAATGAATCAAAAGAATTTTTTTTTTTTTTTTTTTTTTCACTACTTCAAATTTATGAAGGTAAGATATTGTATATACCAACTCGTCAATCCTACTCTATAATGAATGTCGAGTCTTGCGAAAACCAATGTTTAGGTCACCCCATATAGGATTATTGTATATAGGTTTTGTAAAAAAATGAAGAGTTTTTAAAGTTAGATAAAAATACTATTTGTTAATTGAGGAAATAGATAGAAATAAAAGGGTTTTGAGTGGGTCCTACGTATAAGATGTTAGAAGTTTAATTAAATTGATATATATTTGTTAAGTATGTTTAATATTGATAAACTTACTAAAAAATGAAAAATGGGTCATCTTTCGTAGGACGTACCAAAAAGGAAATAGAGTCATTTGTGGCGAGACGAGGGAGTATTATATTGGTTTATAGTAAAAAAAACAAAAATGTTCCTATTAGTACGATGTAATATAAAAGTTGTGAGATTTGTGTAATATAGTTATTATGTTAGGTAGTTCGTAAAATTATTAAATTAGTAAATTGTACCCTTATTTTTGTTTTTTTACTAGGTCCGATTTTGGCAAGTCACACTAGGCGAACCATGTGTGGCAAGTGACCTGAAGCGTCGGGGGTTTGAACCCATGACCTCACGGTCACACGTCTAACCCCCACACCACGAAGTCATCCCTTACGGGACAATTGTACCCTTGTTTTAGGATGGATAAAAATTGAAAATAATATCATTTTTATGTGACGGAGGGAGTATTTAAATAACTATTAAAACCAAAAACACTAAAATACGAAATCGAACCGCAACTAAACAAAACATATATATATGTCCTAAGAAATAATAGTCGAGGGCGTACCAAAAATCAATCCGAGCGATGAGTGCACCGAACCGGGGAGATTAGGACACACAAACGGTCCGTGTATCCACGATGGAACCACCGTGACAAGTTCCAAACCATGCTTCTCGGAAAACTCAAGAGCAGCCCTTTCAGTCACCGTCTTCGAAATGCAATAACCAGCTCCAGGAAAGTTCAATTTCTTCATAAAATCGACGTCGCACCATGACTCCTCGTCCAGCTCACCTCCATCATCGCCGCTGAACTCTTTTGGAAAAATTGTTGCGACGCTTGAGGTGTAGACCACTCGTTTAACAGTCCCCGAATCAATGCACAATTGCAGAATGCCTAATGTTCCTTTTATGGATTTTTCTGTGATCTTTTCGACAGTTTCTGTCCCCAATAAGTCTATCGGATGAGCCACGTGGAACACTCCCACGCTCCCTTCGATCGCAGCCTTGAAACTCTGTGGATCGCCGAGATCGGCGATGAAAATTCGAAGCCTTTCTTTGGCTTGTGGCAAACTTGTTAGAAAGCTGAGGTCTTTCTTTTTGTCTGAAATAAAATTACACCACAGTCACTTCTTTGTCCGTCAAAATTATGTTTGCTTTATTATATTTTCAAACAGTTATTTATTGAAAATTGTTTTTATAAAGCTTCGTCCAAATATAAAATCAAACTGATCAAACTGGTAATATTTATGTTTTAAGTCAATTCAAACCGATTTATATTTGTTTAATAAATAGCAACTATTTTTTTCATTATCTTCTTAAATATTAGGTGATAACAATTGTCACCATCATTGCATCTAACTCTAATTTTAAAAAAATTTCCAAAATATCATTATTAATTTTTACTTGTACACTTAAAATTTAATTTTTCTTAATATTAAGGTATACAGACATAATTTTCATGGACAGAGGAGTATGCTAAATCATCACTCTCTTAGAAACAAATAAACAACTTTGTTTCTTTAAGATCCGGAAATGATCTCACATTATTCATCAAAGTTTTTTTTTCTTTAAAATCATCAAATCAAAAACTTATATCTGATTCAATATATATATATTATAATAAAAAAAAAAATTAGTACATTAATCCTCTGCTTACATCAAATATTATTTCAATTCAAATTTTTACTATTTTGAAGCTCAAAATCCAAATCCAAACCTTAAAACACTACCTAAGCAACCATATCCTCGGTGTTCGATGAATTAGTACAATTGATCCTAGAGTTTTGGAAAAACCCCAACATCAGATTCAAAAATCAGTTGATCCATTCGACGAAGAGTCTCGAAACATGATCAGAAATGAGTAATCGAACCTGGAGAGTGGGATCGAACGGTGGCGTTAACATAATAGCCGCGGCAAAGAAGCTTCTTGATAAGCCATGATGCAAGAAAACCAGTTCCTCCGGTTACGCACACTTTTCCCGGATATTTCTCGTCCCCAGCAGCTGTTTGTTCCATCATGTGTTTCGAACCTCTGAGTCACTGTCTGTATTCACATGTTATCCATCCACTGATCCTCTATCTTATTAATTCTTGCAATCAATAAAGGAGTAACTAATTAGGACCACACTTACACTCACCTTTTTATCATAACTTGTCGAATTTGGTAGGTAGGAATAGACACAATTGTATCGCCCATCCCTTCAAGAAAAAGTTAAAGGAAAACGGGTTTGGTTACCTGTTGAATTCTTGAGTTGAAAGTTGATTATTTAATTAATATTTGATATATAATGTAATATATATAAGAATTAGAAAATTTTGTATATAGTAAATATTTTATTATAAATAATATAAATTAATTTTACTGATAAATGGGGAATTTTGAAATTATATAAATATACTTATTTATTGAAGAAAAAGATATGTTGGGACTAGGCCAACACAACATATTTTCCGCTTTGAGCTTAGCTTGGATATTCTCCAAAGTTAATTTAAAACTTATAAAGTGTAACATTTTTCTTCTCAACTTCTACCGTGGGACTTCAGTTTCAACACCAACAAGAAATAAAAAATTTAAATTTTGAATGAATTCCATGTGAAGTAAAATTTTAAAATAAAATTAGGAGCATAGTGCCAACCGGGCCGAGATGGTGGGGTCTCAAGCCCCGAGCTATCAGTGACAGATCTAAGGAGAGGCTCAAGGGAGTACCTCGTCCCCAAACTCCAAATTTTATTTAATTTTATAGTGTAAATTTTTTTAAAAAAAATTAATTATACTAACTTATCCTTCAAAATAGTGAGATTATCTTCTCTTTTCTTTTCACCTGTTATTAGTGCAATAAGGAAAATCGAAAAAAAAAAAATAGTATCAAATCAGTAAAATATACCGGTGATCACCCTCCAAAATTTGGGGGCTGGTTCCGCCCTTGTGAGCCGTCATTCCACTACAAGAACATATCATTTTTGTAACGAGATTTTTTCGTCTTTAAATTCACTTTTTCCGTTACAAATGATATTAGAGACGGAATTAATGATGGAATTACGTTAGTGATCTTTAGGGACAAAATTTCGTTACAAATATACTATTTTTTTTTGTAGTGTCTCCATCGTTACGTTGGTGACATTATTATTATTATTATTATTGGATGACATTATTGATTATAGAGACCGTCTGTCCAATTGGATTCAATCAATTCTTATCAAGTTAATATTTTCATATTGATTAAATAGTGAATGCGTCACAATATACATATATATTTTTTTATCATTAATTTCATTCAAAATAATAAAAATATCTTATTTTTTAACTTCAATGAAACCCTTCACCTCCTCGGTGGAACAACGCTGACTCCGCAACTGAACAAGATGTTGTCGTCTAGTGGTAAAACATCTCCGTCTAGGACAATGACCCGAGTTCTATTTTTATTTTTATTTTTTTTCTAAAAACATCATATTCAGCAAATATATATATATATGTGTGAAAAGAAAAATAAAAAAATAAAATCACTCAAATTACTATTTCACCTTACAAAATTTTATAACAAAAATACAAAAGAAGGCATCACTAGCAGTGTTTATTTGGTGATTTATTTTTAATACAAGTTGGATATGTGATGTTTTGTGTAAAGAAACAATAGGTATTTCACAAGGAAATCTTAAGAATTAGATAATAAATAAATAGGAAAGAAATCAAAATAAACAATTTTCTCTGGTCTTGAAATTAAATTTGTTTATTTATATTTTGCCCTTTTGCTTTTTATACTCCATCAGTTTCCAATTTGTTTACTAATTTGACTTTTCAGTATTTTGGATGTTATAATTTGATAATTTTAAGTTTATCTTTTATTTAAAATAATTATAAATTGAATTTAGAAAGTAAAGAAAAAAAAAAGTGCAAAAGTAAAGAAAAATTATAAAAAAAAATGTAATAATTATAGATTTAAACTAAAAAGAAAGTATAATTTATTTTAAAAATCTCCTTAAAAAGTAACATTTCAAAAGAAAGAACAGAAAAATTCACACTAAGTGAATAACACAGTGCATTTTTATATAGTGAATGTCCTTGAAGAAATTTTAATTAGTGCTTAGAACTTGTTTTCTATTTCTGAGTAAATTATAATTAAACTCAAAGCATTAGATTATATTTCAATTCTAAGATTAAGGAGAAATCACAGTTTACAAACGGTTGGCCGACTGTTGTTTGTAGATAAATAAATAAATTATGTGTATCCTAATAGCTTAAGTTTTTAGGTGAATCGGTCATTTACTTTATGATATTAGAGTCTTAGATCAAGTTTCGTTTGGTGGTGTTTATCTCTTTTGCCCGTAAGTCGGTGCGTCCCATCAAATATTCATTTTTTCACTTTTTCTAAAATTCTTCAAAACTTTAAAACCTACAAAAACTCTTGTACGAGATCTTTTGTATTGAGACTATTTGAAGTGTATAGTACTATAGTTTAAGCTAGCCCTTATTATTATTTTGATTGAATTGGATTAACAATTAACGGTGTTTGATTTCCAAATCACTACGCACATAATTGATAATTAATGTCGATTTTCATCATTTTGTCTTATTACATCAAGATTAGGCAAAAGAAATATTTATATTAATGAACTTTATCATTTCTCATCATCTCTTTGTGTTATGTTCTTGTCTTTGATTTTATTAAAGAAGGATAATCATCATCGAAAATAGGGATGGATTGTACTGCTCAAGAAATGTTATATACTTTTATCAAGACGGTTGTTACGAATTTTAAAATTACCAAAATACATCGTGCAATATCAGACATCACATGATAGCACTGCAGATATAACATTATTTATATTAACATAATATCAATATATATATGTTACAATAGGAGAAGAACGAGAGCACTATGAGGTGTAGATCATTATGCAAGAAGAAGACTTCCCGACTCGGCTTTAGTTTCTTCCCTTATATTTATATTTTAGTTGAATTATCACACATTTTCACTAATTTTTTTTAATGATGGGATTTCTAACCCGTAGTCTTATAAATCAATCTAACACTATTATTTTTCCGATTCTTGTATTCATTATAACAGCATCTAATTTTCCAACAATCAATTGCGTGACGAATATACTAGAGCCATTTCAGCTAACATTGTGGAGGGAATACGCGTGGGGCGATAATGCTTATCGATCCAAACCGTTGTTGCTTTCCCCTCGAGTATTAGCTGAAATTGATCCATCAAACATGAATCAATAAAATGTCGAAAATATTACAAATCAAAATGCTTGCATAAGATGATATATCATGTAAGAACCTCTAGATTTGGAAGCTTGACGATGGCATATTCTATGAATATACGGGTCTTCGACCATCCCGGTATCTTAAGCTTCACCAAGAATTTGTCCCTACTCTACACACAACATTAAAATATATAGATATATATATATTTATTTATAAGTCTCGTATTGTCAAGATAACTTTTTCTTTAAGGTTTACACTTACTAATGTTGTATGTAAATTAGGGTTTTACTAGTTTATGAAAGCTGTGAATACTTACTTACCTTTAAAGGGGCTATAAATTTAAGTGAAGTATCTGCTAAAGCCATTGAATAGCCACTTCGAGCAATGACATCAGCACTGGAGCTGGTGTATTTCTTCAGGAAATCATGACAAACTATCAAATTAAGGCATAATCGACGAATGTATTTAGATTGTGTTCCTTCGAGCCAAAACTGCTCGGGGTACGGCTTTTCAAAAATATCGCCAACAAATACATATCATTCAATAAAAGTCGACAACTACACATATATAATAACATTCAATAAAACACATAAAATATAACTCCCTATCACACATCACAATTTAATTCTCATACTTAATAACAAAAACACTTAAAATTAAAAATACTAAACAAACTTTTAGTTATGGTTTGGAAGGATTTGGATATATTTTGTTGTTATGAAAATAATAAATAATTAAAAAATTGAATAGAAAATAAGTATCGAATACTATATTTTCAAAATAAAAAATAAAAAAACAAGTGTTAAATATAATGTGTTAATTAAAGAGAGACTTTGAATGTTTGTAAAGGAATTATTTTTGAAAATTAGTGTAAAGAAAAATTAAAACATCTGTAAAATGTATATTCACTAATAACAAATGAAAAAGGAAAAACGACTTTAGATTAGAGCTCTTAATAAGCTGAATTGAACAGAATTTTAAGAGTCTGTATTCATTCGTTAATATTCGCTAATAAGGGCTCAAGTTCGCTCGGTAATAATAAAACGAACCTATTTATGTTGTTCGGTTCAGCCCGTTTATATTCGTGAATGAGCTTAAACCGAACCAAACAAACCAAATTTATAAACAGTTTGATTCATTTAACGTACTAAAAATACAAGTAATTAAACATGTTAATTCTGTAATTATGCCATAATCCATTCAAAGATGGGCAATGGGATGATCTAATTCAGCCCAATTCAATATCAATCTGAACTTACATAGTTAGGACTAGCTCAAGTTACCCTCAACTTTGAATTGGCCCATATCCCAATAGATCGAATATATTAAAAATTAACTCGTCTCACGTTTTGTTTTTAACCTAATTCGATTTTCAATATACATTTTCTTTTTTATAAAAAAAAAATAATATTAGGTAAAAAAAAAAATTTCGTCTCAACTCAAAGTATGTTTTTATTATTTTGTGTGTCCCACTCAAAAATATCATTTTCTTATTTTAGAAAAAGTAATTATACACTAATACCAAAATATCCTTTAATTTTTACTTAAATTACAAAAATGTTATTACACATAACAATTACTTTATATATAAAGTCAAAATGCAAAAATGTCGTAATATCTTACACACTTCCACTAACTTATAAAATATTACCCATTCTACCATCCAATTGTATACTCATCTGACCGGACACAGGTTTTAAGAAAAATAAGTAAAAATATAAACTTTTACTTTTTTAGGTAAACAAAAAATTAAAAAAAAAAAATTGTATTTTGTTACTAAAAAATGAAATAAAAATAAATTTGGATGACAACCAAAAAGGAAAAGTAAAATATATTTGAAAAAGGGAAAAAGTATTATTTATTAATCTATTATAAAATTTCAAAGAACCCCTTTCGATTTGAACGGAAGGAATATTATTTATTATAACATTATTTTCTATACCTCACATAATATATATATAGCTCAAACTAAAGCACTAAACAAACACACTCTAAATATACTATAAATATATTTTCATAAATATATTATATAAAAGGTCTATACATATTTGAAACTATAAAAAAATGAAATTTATCTTTTAAAAAATTATATATCCAGACATATATGTGGTTGTTGTTACTATGCTAACTAATTATAATTAACGGAAAAATAACACAGACAATATATATCGGTAACATATGAGATATAAATTGACAATACAATATATATATATGTTAATATAATATTTATATGAGCTGGTACAAAAAAATAATGTACAAGCCATATGTGTATAGTTTATAAATGTTACTCACTATGTCGGATTACAAAGTATTTATTTTTCCATTTTAGTCTGTCTCATAATAAAGTATCTATTTCCTTTTTTTTAGTAACTATACTATCTATCTAACATTACAAATACCCTTACAACTTACAATATATTACACAAATGTCATGACCTCTATATCATACATACTAATAATGTTATTTTAGTCATTTCTACCTTATTCTTAATATATCCTAATATAATATTAATATTTTTAAAACTATGTGCAAAAAGCAAATGAATATCTAATTATGGGATGAAAAAAGTATTATAATAATTTCTTTTTAAATTATCAATCTAAAGGCTCAAAATCGATTGAGTCTATATCTAATCTAGCCTAAGTTTTTATTCAATAATCGACCTGCCTAACTCAGATTGGGCATGCTATAGTATAGGCCGATTTGGCCATATATATTTTTGTACGATCTAAATTAATTTGCTACAATAAAATTGGCCGAACATGAATCTACTATCCTATATTAATTAATTCTCATTGAATATTATGCTTATGTTTAATTTAAATATTGTCTTCATTCTAAATTTTGTACTTTTCAGTTGTGTTTTTTTAACAATCAAACCTAAAATTTAAACTATTTGAATTTTATGTTAATTGGAAAAAAAAAAAAAAATCTTACAAAATATTTCATTATACTCCCTCCGTCTCAGAAGTAAATATTCATTTGTTTTTTGCACGTAGTTTTAAAAATATTAGTATTATATTGGGATATAGTAAGAATAAGGTAGAAATAACTAAAATAGAAAAATGAATACTTTGTTATGGGACGGAGGATGTATATTATTTTAATATCAAACATAATCAAAAATTTCAAAACCTATCAAATTTAAGCTTTGGTATTATTTTTCTACAGTAATTTTTTTAAAAAGTATAAAATTAAATATTTCTTTTCACAAAATTTCGCATCGATTATTTAAATTTTTATTATTTCTAAATCTAAACAAAATCAAAGGTAAAAATTTAAGCAAAATGTGTGTATGCTTTAGAATATCTATACATACCATGTTGGCAATAACTCGCGTAAACATGATCGTTTACAACTCCGAATTGATCTAACTCATAATCCCTAACATCAAGCTCAAGCTCATGTACCCATCTACGTAAAAGAACACATAAAATGAAATTTATTAACATGTACAAGAAAGAAAATAATAATAATAATAATAATAATAATAATAATAATAAATAAAAATAAAAAGTATCAATTTTATGGCAAAAAATCAAAATAAATAATAAGGACTTACAATTATAGATAGAGACTAAAAATAACACATGAGTTATTATATAATAAATTTAGTGAATAATATTTTATGCTTTAAAATTAAGAAATGAGTATATATAGACATTAATTTATGCTAAGAATATTAACTAGTTTTTCTCATATATATATACATTTAATCTCGTAAATATATAATTGTGTTCAGTGTCGGAATCAGGATTCGCCAAAATGGAGGCTGATTTTTAAAATTTTCAAAATAATACAATATATTTATTATCAGATAATTTTATTATGTCAGATATCATATTTTAAAAACTTTGCAAAATAACAAACTCCAACAACATCAATTACATATTGCAATATTCATTTTGATATTGTTTGAAATTCATAAGTATTTTTTATTAGAAAAAATAAAATCATTTTAAAAAAATAATTGAAGATTGTTTTTTTCTCTTAAGTGTTTGGTTAGGATTTTTTTTTATAATTAAAAATTAATTTTATATTTAAAATATCAAATAATATTTATTTATATCACATTAAAATATTTAAATTTAAAATAATTTTTTATTTAAAACTCAAACATAAACACACTATATAAATTTTAATTTATTTTAGTTTTTGTATGCTATATATATATAAATATTATTATATACTATATATCTTAAATATAAAAAAATAAGTTTACCTGTGAGATTTGTTTTTCCATTTTACTATTCCAATTTTTTTCTTTTCTAAAAAACATCAAATCAAACACCTATTTTTTATTTATTATATTACACTAAAATTAAATTTTACATTCAAAATATCACATCAATACATATTTATATCACATTAAACAACTATTTCAATTCAAAATTTTACTATTTAAAATCAAAACCAAAAACCAAAATCTCACAAGTAAACAAACCCAAAGGGGTGGGAGTAGGGGGATGGGAGCCCCAGCTCCTACCTACCTGCATCCGTCACTATGTTTGTTCTATAAATATTTTTTATATATATATGAAGTATAGAAGTTTTGTCAATAATATAGAAATAAATATTTTATATTAAATGATTAATTTCTTTGTAAATAAATAAAATATATATTTGTATTTTTTTAATAATATTAATAGGAATCGTGTCAAATAAATAAAATACGTTAACATACCAATTATTTTTTGAAAAGAAAATAATAATGAAGAACGAACCTGTCCGGATTACGCCTTATAATACATGGATAAGGCCGTGGAGATGCTAATTGAGCCCTTGTAATAACTCGCAAACTTTGATGGTTCGAATAAGATACCGATATTGGAAAAAACTTTCGAATAAATTTAGGGTTTATTGGAGGACTAGTTGTGGGGAGGGTGATGGAATTGATTATTTGGATACTACCTAATGAGGACATCGACATTTTCTCTTTTCTTTTTTCCAATCGATTGTTGCATGCAATTGATCGAATATATATAAGAGAAATTTGTGTCTATCTATCTATATATATGTGTGTGCGCGCACCTCCATAGACATTAATTTGGTATGTATAGCTGTTATTAGTTCGGTTTAATTTTACATTATACTTTCGAAAAATAAATAAATATTACATCACGTGGATCGTATTTAAAATTTTCTATTTCTATTGTTTTCTTTAATAAATGAATATATTTATATATTTTTAAAATGTCTTATTTTTTATAAAATTAATTATATTAATTATATAAATTTATAATCTTTTGATTAATTTAAATTAATTATATAAAATTTTATTTTTAAAAAAATAGTATTCATATTATTTAAATTTTATTGAGATGTGTTTTGAAATACTTAAATATATAGTTTAAGGGGTGTATTCAATCTGAATTCTATATAATTTTGTTAGACTTTTAAAATCTAGATGTATTCAATCTAAGACTTTTAAAATACGAAGTTATTCAATCCAAATTTTTAAAAGTCTTTTAAAATATGAAGGTATTCAACAATCCATAGATTTTGAAAGTCTATAATTTTAATGGATTTTAATGGAAAATTGTGAAAAAAATTATTATTATTATTATTATTGTTGATGATGTTGTATAAGTGATAAATAATATGATAATATTTATTAATATTATTATAATTTTTAATAAAAATAATAATTAAAAACTAAGATATATTAGCGAATTATTATCAAATTTTTTTAAATATATATTTTTATATTATAAATATAGTTTTAAAAAATATTATTATTATAATAAATATGTATTACTGTCGTCTTTTCTTTTTAATTATCGAATATAATATATTGTCATTTCAGTGTTATTCTTCTTTTTCAATTATCGAATATAATATATTGTTATTCCGGTGTCATTCTCCTTTTTCAATTATTGAACATAATATATTGTCATTCCGGTGTCATTCTCCTTTTTCAATTATCGAATATACTATATTGTCATTCCGATGACAGTGAAATAAATATTTCAATATATATTTTTCGTTGAACTGTTAATTTTTTTTATTTACTTTTTTATTTTAATATTTTTTCAAAAATCGTAAGTATTTTTTTTTTTATTTATATACGTATGTATTTTTTATGTAAAAAAGTTATATAAATAATAATAATAACTAATAAAGAAATATAAAACTAATTTGATATATTGAATGATAATATAATACTAAAATTATAAAATTTAAAATATTAATATACAATATAGTAGTGTTACATATGTTTCAATACTTCTACGTTATTAATAATTAATATTAAATTTTATTTTATAAAAATATAATAATATATAATAACTTTAATTATAAATATATTACATATATAAAACTTGTGTTTTAATAATATATACGTAACTTTAATTATAAATATATTATATTTATAAAAATTGTATTTGATATAAATTTATATAATTATATATATTCATAAAAAAAAATTATTCTGTAATCCCACGAAAAATCATATAAATTCATAAAGAATTCAATCAAATCCATAAAAATCCATCTAAATCAATTACTAAAATCCATCAAACTCAACATAGACTATGTAGATTTAGAAAATCTACATAAATTCATAAACTTTTTAAAATTCAAAAAAATCGATTGAAATTCCAATTGAGTACACCCCTTTAATTTTTTTTAATAATATTTAATAGACCATCAATCAAATATTAAATAAATAAATTTCAACCAATCCAACTTCTAATTACAATTTGAACCAATAACTAAATATACCCTGAATGTCAAATAATGGTGATTGAGGATTTGTTTTTCTTATGATTTCAGATTTTTTTTGTTATTTATTTATTTATTTTTATTTTTTTTTTTTTGTAATAGTGAATATTTAAATACAATATTTGGATTTTTTGTACGAGATAATTTTAATGAAAATAGATTCTGATTAAAAAATAAATGTTTTATGGAAAATTTAATAACAAGTGGCATGGTTGATTTAATATTCTTTTGAAACAAAAAAAAAAAAACCTAATAGTGTCATGCAGCAATTTCTAAAATAAACTATACCTATTATAGGGCCTTAAGTAGATTTACCTAACTAAATTTTTTTTTAACCTTTCTTTACAGAGGATTGTCTACTGGTAGGCTCACCTATCATTAGGGTGTTATTTTACATTCACCGTCCATATGAGTTGATAATAAATTTATTGATATGTCTTGAATTTAGTTTTTCACTTTGCTGAAGTTTTACGAGGGTTTCGCTGCTGGGTCAGCGCGTCAGGGGCGAAGTCCCCTTGCCTGGGGTCCGGGGTCCGGGGTCGCGGAGTGGTCCCCGGCCCAACGGTATGCAGTGTTGGGCCTTTGAGTTCGTATTAGGTTGAGTCCGTCTGATGTATTCTCTTAGTTTATTTAAATAGATTTAGAAATATGAAATCTGACATATGTAACCTAGCCGTCCGGAATAAAATCTGTTCTCGGTTTCAACCCGTGGACGTAGCCAACACGTTGTTGGTGAACCACATAAATCTGTGTCTTCTTTACGTTATTTTATTATTATTATTATTATTATTATTATGATTATTATTATTATTATTATTATTATTCGATCATTAACCCTAATCTATCACAACAAAATTGATGGCTTAGATTAGTCAAGGGCATGATCATCTTTTCGGTATAATACTTTTATCCTTCTTCATTAACTCATGTTCAAGTAGGCATGTTTCCATATTCCATCGTCTTTAATACATTTCTCTTCTTCAATTCCGAGTCAATTTTCTTCATCTGCAACATATCTCCACTAGAAATCGACAATGGAGAAGGCTGCGAGAGGGAGAGATTTGTTTATTCAGTTCCCGTGTGTTGCTCGAAAGATGGTGCAGTCGATCAAGAGTTTTTGTTCATTTCTTGCTATATATGTACGCTTAATGGTTGTTCATGTGGCACCAATCATGTGTTTATTAAATTATTGGGATGTCGAAAATGAATGTTTTAAGTTATCTGATGGATCAGAATGATTTATTACCGATTGTGATGCTGCTATGATTTATTATTTGTCATATGGCGAAAACAAGGAACCTACTTGCTTGATAATTTTGCATTGGACTTGAAACTAATAGGAAATAATAAAAATATATATATCATCGAGCTTGCTTTGAAAAAATTAGCTGACAGGGTCTTAAATCTAGTTTGTCACTTGGTTGAGTTATGGGTTTTAAAGTTGGTATTGGTTAAGCCCGTCTGATATATTCTCTTGGGGTGTGTTCGTTTGATGGATTTGGATAAAATTCCATTATTCATCCAAAATTTTCCCCCAAAAAATATCAAATCAAACACCTATTTTTTATTTTTTATATTATACTAAAAATCAATTTTACATTCAAAACATCACATCATCACCTATTTATATCACATCATACAACTATTCAAATTCAAAATTTTTACTATTCAAATCCCAACTCAAAATCCAAATCCCCAAACAAACACACCCTTAGTTTATTTGAATAAACTTAGATATATGAAATATGTAAGATGTAACGCAACCGTCTTTAATAAATATTTTATCTATTTCTGCCCATGGACGTAGTAAATATATTGTCGGTGAACCACGTAAATTTGCCACGTAAGTTTGTGTTTTTTTTACGTTTTCATTTATTATTCGATCATTTAATCCTAATCCGTCACAATAGCCCCGATATCAAATGAGAAGGTCAATCACTGTCTCTTTTCAATATATGGAGTGGAAGGAGTTAGCCGGTGGATATAATTGGGTTGGAATGGTAAGAGACAATGGTTGAGGGTATACGATGTATTTGTTCGAAAATTGAAAAGAACGGTCACCGCAACACCATCTTGAGACATGCATTGTTTAATGATATTTTAAGTTTTACAATATTCTGGTTTAGTTTTGATTTTCGTTGGATTCACCATTTTGTAATATATTGTTATTGTTTTAGTATATATTATTTGATAAGTTAGATCGCGAAAAAAGTTGGTAGTTACTTTTTGTCGTGTTATATTCCAAAAAAAATTGTATTCGAAAGATATGTTGAAACCTTTTTCGTGCACAAGATGTTGGATCGATGGAGATTTTTTTTTTTATTATATTTAAACATGTGATTCTAAATATGTTGATACTGTTTATTTTACTTATTTATACTTCTTACATTATATGCTAATTGATGCTATTTTGTTTGCTAATTGAATTGATATTTTGGAACGTTGCGCGTGTGTTTTTCTTGATTCACAGAAGGAAGAGACTGAAAAGTCGAAAAAAATGATATGAGAGGGAGATTATAAAAATGTCCGAAGATATTTTAAAATTAGAGAAAGAATATAGATTAAAATACAAGTCTAGTGAATAATGTGAACCTGGCCATGAGATGTACTTTTAGTTAAGGGCTCGAGCTCAACTCATATTAGTTCGTTAAGATATATATATATATATATACGCTAATGATTCGAACCAAATCAAGCACATTTAAGCTCAGATAGTAAAGGGTTCGAGCTTAACTCGTGTTAGTTCGTTAAAAGGTATGAGCTAAAATATTTATTCGAACTCGGCTTTTTAAGTGTTTATTTTGTTTGTATTTTATTCGACTTGAATCGTTAAAGTGATTTTTTTTTTATTTAAATTTAAACTCAATAATATTGAACATTCCGAAATAAATTTGAGCTCGTGCATTAATATATTAAAATTTGTTTTAGTGTTTGGCTTATTTAACTTAGCAAACGAGCTCTTAACAAGGTAAAAAGAATCGAAACAAGCTGACAACTTATTTTTTTTACAATTTACTAAAAAACAATAAACATCAAGACTTTCAAAATATAAAAATGAACCCATCCCAAGCTTCCTTAAAATGACCTAACAATTTTTTATGGGCTTAGGCCTTATCCTAAAAACTCAAAATAATTGTAAGATAGACAATTATTTTTGCATTTGGTGGATCTATTTATTCACATTTATGTGCATTCATTTACTTTAAATTCTTTGCATTATAAGGTAGATATATATTTTAAATTGTTGTGCACTTTTAAGGATATCTTCAACTTTCTTCGAAAACTATTTCAGTTTTGAGTTTGTTCTCATTTTAAATTAAAATCAATATTATTTGTTCTATATAGTTTTCAATAAATTAAAATATAGTATTTTTTTCGTAAAATATCACATCAAAATACTATTTGAATAAAAGGTGACGACTAAATTTAAAACTCAATACTGATTTTATTATACGGCATATTATTATAAATTTATAACCTTCTACTAGGATAGAAAAATATAAATTTTTAGTGTGAAATTTATTGTTTGATCACATCCCTTGAAAATAGAAATTATTCTTTTGTTGATAAGATTTTTTACTAAATAATTTTAATTGTGATTATAGTTCTTGAATTATACCGACGACTCCTTTTGAAATTTTATAATAAAGGTTCGAGCAATTTCTTATTTAATTAAAATCACACTTGTCATTATGATCTAGCAATGACTTAAATCATGTGAATTTGAAACCCACACTTTATTCGATTCGAACTTATAGAATATGTGTTCATTTTAACAAATTATAATTTTGTTACACACAAAACATATAGTTTTGTTGATACAGTAATGCATCAATACCATACTGATAATATTTTAATGTTTTAGTAAAATTAACTTGAAATAAAATATTGATTTGAATTTTTACCGCGGGAGTAACTAATTTAAAGAAGGTTATTATGATAAATAGTTTCAAATGACAATTATTTTATCCTATTTTTAATATAACCTTTGGATATAAATTGATTGAATGGTTGATCTTTGGTTGCGGTTATTAGGTCAAATTAGCATGGTGTTGGTGTTGATTTAATTCAGTCAGTGTATACATAAAAGACAAGACGGACAGTGTATTTTTTTTTATAACACATCAATATGTTGTATCATTTATATAGAAATAGTGCTGAAATGAATAATATATTGTGTTATATGAAATTATATTACAGGGTAAACTGTTTTTTTAGTTTCGTAACTGGACCCCTTTATCATTTTAGTCTCGTAAGTGGAGTCTGTCGCAGTGAAAAATTTTTGCTGTTTTAGTCCTCCAGCGCCGAAGATGCCTGCGTGGCTCGCCGGAGGTGACGTGTCCGCTAGGTGTCCCGCCAGGTCAGCGACACCTGGCGGACACGTGGATTTATTTTATTTTTTTCATTTTTTTAATTTTTTTTTAATTTTTTTAATTGGACCAAATAAAAAAATTAAAAAAATAAAAATAATTAAAAATAAGTTTTAAAAAAAAAATTAAAAAATGAAAAAAAAAAAAAATCCACATGTCTGCCAGGTCAGTGACATCCGGCGGACACGTCACCTCCGGTGAGCCACGCGGGCATCTCCGGCGCCGGATGACTAAAACAACGAAAATTTTTCACTTATGGGATTAGTTTGCAACATGCTCCACTTACGAGACTAAAATGATAAGGGGGTCCAGTTACGGGACTAAAAAAATAATTTAGCCTATATTATATATTGTCAAAATATGTATTGTATATTATATTATTATATAATATCAGGTATGTATTGTTTGTAGTATATATGTATTTATTGAATCAAATTAGCACTGTATTAATTTGACTCAATCAACACTGAAATCAAAGGTCGATATTTTGTCAACGATGCTATTATTAACACAGTATTCCATCCAAATTAAATGACATAGCTTATCCTTTTTATCATCCTACCAAATGGAAAATGACAATTTAATTTCATGTTACAAAAAGGCAAAATAAAGAAATCTTGGCAAAAAGGGGAAGCAACAACCAAAGTTTTTCAAAAATAAAAAGCTTTAAATAAATAAATAAAGGCTTATCCACAAGGCAATTCTATTCGAGGGGCCCTAAAATGGTTGATTATGACCTTTAATTATTTAATCTCACAAGTGACATTTCATATTTTTAATTTAAAATTATTTGAGATAGAAAGTTTTTTTTCTTTTTTTTTTCAAATAATAATAAAAGATTAAATAGTAAATAAAAATGATTGAAACACAACATACTTTGACATTATTTGTGTTATCTTCTTAAGGGATGGAAAAGGTGTTCTAGAGATGGAAAAGAATATGGAATTATCGAAACACCGCGTAGTATAATGTATCGAATAAATATTAAAAATACCAAAATTTCATTATATTGAAAATTTTAGTACTGATACGGTACTAAACTTTTCGCTACAGTAACAGTATCCCATTTGACATTTTTGGTATATATCGAAATACTGAAAATTTTCGATATTTCGATATATACCAAAAATATCGTATATTATTTTAATATTTTGGTATTTAGTATATAGAATTGTGGGTACAGTATCAATATATATCTATAATACCGATTTTTTGGTATATTAATTTTCCAGTATACCGAATTTTCGGTACAGTATCGGTATTTTTTTAACATTTCAAAGTATCTTCAATGTGCGGTACTGAACCATCCATAGGTGTCGGTTATAGCTAATCAGCATAAAAAATTACTTTACAATGCATGGTTGGACTTAAATCAAAATGCCCCGAGTGAATTATTATCATCTACCATTAATTTATATCATGTAGTACTTATACTAAATTAATATGTATGTTTAATAAAATCAATTGTAGCATATATTGTATGGACTATTATCATACGATGATTAGTCTTAATCAAGGATCTAACCGCCGCACTTCCTATGTGTAAAATCATAATAAAAATAAGTCATTGATACGTAATACCGATGTAATAAATTTTATCTTATAATTATAAATATACAACTATTTTCAATCAAATAAGCCATTGCCATATAATGAATAACTTTATTCTAAAACAAATTATAAAACATTAGTAAAGTAATAATTTTACATTCAAATTATTTATTTTTTATGAATATTATATGGTATTATTAATATTATATCATATAATATATTAAATTTGTTATGATCTAAACTATATAATATATCAATACTTGTTACTATTATTACTAAAAAACTATATTATACTAGTCTACAATATTTTTTTTAGTTATCCAATTACAAAGTAATTATTTTTAAAATATTTTATTTTTCACAAATATCTCTATTTTTCGACACATTATAACTTTTACATCAAAAATAATGGTAAAAGTTATTGTTACACTACTTTTAACTATTTATGGAAGAAGTAATATATATTTTTATTATAAAATATTATATAAATTCAAATTAAATTAAATTCGGAGATTCAATCCAGTTTCAAGTATGAATTTTCATACCCAATACCTGATCTGAGTTTTTGATTAAGTACTCGAAATTCAAAACTTTTATACATACTTAAAAAAACACCGACACGATTAATCTAGATCCAATCGGGTTGGGTTGGATCCAAACGCCCACCATATATTAGATTATATCCCAAAAAAAAAAAAAAAAAATCATGCGGTAGAAATCAACATGGTATTAATTTAATCCGTCGTGCGTCAATATATATATATAAAGCATACTGCATATTTTTATATAACATACTATTATAATGGTGTATAATACAGAAGCACATGTTGTGCAGGTTATATTGTATTGTGCTATATAAATATGCTTATTATATTAAAATCAATAATATATTCACTACAAGAAAATATCAAATTTGTAACGATGTTTTTTCGTTCCTAAATCCACTTTTTTTGTTACTAATGATATTAGAGACGAAATTAGAGATGAAATTACGTTAGCTACGTGAACTTTAGAAATGGAATTCCGTTACAAATATACTATTTTTTTTTTTAAAGATTGTACTATATAAAATGATATTATGAAAATATGTATGGTATATTGTGTTATCATGCGCTATCTTTGCCCTGTATACATGTGTGGTCTAAATCAAATTAGTACGATACTGATTTAATCCGATCAGCATCATAGAATTCTATTTATTTCTTTAATGCACGCACGTCGCTCTCTCGTTGTCGATATGATCAATAAGATTTATATATTTATTTATTTATTTTTATTTTATTTTATTCACTGCTTATGAAAATGATACAACACAGTTCTTGATACACAACTATCACATTGACACATAGTTACAATTATCATCGTAGTATTTGGACATTTGTAACGTCATAAAGATTCTTAAATAATACTCCCTCCGTCCCGATACAATAGTCTTGTTTATCATTTTTGTCCGTCCCAAAACAATAGTCTTATTTCCATAAATAATCATATCACCGTAAAACTATCCATACTTTTTCATTTTTATTATACAATTTTCACTACTTTTTACACTAATACACTCACAGGGGCAAAAAAGTTTTTTATCCATACTTTTTACCGACTACCAATATAATATCAATATTTCTTAAATCTCGTGTCCAACCCAATTAAGACTATATTTCTGAGACGAATGGAGTATAAAATATAATTAAATATTTTAGCAGAAATTAAAATAAATTACCAAGAAATTGAAATATACACACATAAAATAATCAAACATTAACCACTAATAATATGTTCCAAAATACAAATATATATATATATATATATGCAAATCAAGATCAAATTAAAACCATATCATATATATAGTTATGAAATCAAGTCAAATATATTTATACTTCTTGCTTGATTTTTTTTTTTTTTTTTTTTTTTGGTAATATATATTAATATTGTGTGTGGAAATTGAAATCTGCAGCAAGCATTTAATATGATCAGAAATCAGTATTATTTATGTTTATTATTAGATAGGCCAATTAGCTGTTTGGAAGTGTGAAATTCCTCCATAGCTTTCTCCCACAAGTTTCTCCATCCCTTGTGCAGTATTTTCCTGTTGCCAAACACGGCCTTAGCACTATACATACATATATATATATATAATTCTAAAATTTAAATTGGGATATAATTATGGAGAATTTCATGAAAATTAAAAATAACCTGTATTGTTTCTATGGCTTCAGCTTCTGATGAATTGAAATCATAGAACAAACTTGCAGCAGAAAGTTTCATGGAAAGAAACTAAAAAATAAAAAATCAAATCAAATAAATAAATAAATGTAAAGAATTAAAATTAATACATATGAAAAATAAAAATAAAAATAAAAATAGGAATATTTAATTTATGAAATAGCTTACATCAATTTGATTCTGCAAAGACCTTACATAATTTATGATCACATCCAGCATTACAGCCATTCCCATTGTCTGCAAATTAATCAAACCAAAAAAAAAAAAAAAATTAATTTAATTTTGTTACATCAATTTATAAAATTAATAATACTATTAATTAATAAATAAATAAATAAATTACCTTGTAACATCCTGGAACAAGATCTTGTAGGCACCTCAGCTTCTCATTTATTTTCTCTCTTCTTAACTATAGAAATTCCCAAAAATATTTTTTGGGAAAAAAAAAAATTATATGAAAATCAGATACATCCATTCTAATTTATTTTATTTTATTTTCACACATATATATATATATATTAAAAGAAATTAAATTAATTAATTCGAAGATATATATATATGTTTACCCTTTCAGCCAAACTGTGGCTATCAGTTGCTTGCCCTCTCTTTGCTCTTACATGAACAACTTCTCGTGTCTCTTTTCTTTCCATTTTGCCCTCTTTTTTTCTCTTCTTTCCTCCATAATTCTATCACAAATATCCGTTATAATTCACTACAAGAAATTATTAATTTTGTAACGAGATTTTTTCGTTCCTAAATTCACTTTTTCTGTTACTAATGATATTAGAGACAGAATTAGAGATGGAATTACGTTAGCTACGTGAACTTTAAGAACGGAATTCCGTTACAAATATACTATTTTTTTTGTAGTGATTATACGAGTATTCTAATCGAGAATTTAAAAATAATTTACGTCCTCTATTAATCTTTCAAAGCGAATATGTGGCGTATTATAGATAAAATAGTCTATCCAGTCTAATTACTCGTAGTAAAGACACTTCAATAACAACAATATATATATATACATACTCACGCGTTTTTTAAATTTTACTATTTGAATTCTGTGTTTCGAAAAATATATATATTTCTCTCACAATATTTTATCAAATATTATTTAAATACAAAACCTAAACCAAATTTTCTCAAACCAAATCCAAAGAAATAAACAAAAGTTTTATATATTTGTGAGATGACTAAAATATACTCCTTTCTATACCACTTAATTTGTCTACTCTTTTTATTTTCGTCCCATATAATTTGTCTTTCTATAATTATTTTTATTAGATCATAATTATTTTTACTAATATACTTTTAATTACTTACTAATTGCACAATACCTAAAACTTTGTGACTAAGCTAAATAGTACAATTTAACTGGGATAGAAGGAGTACATCGTCAAGAAAAAAAAAAAGATTTGAAAGAATTATAATTCCACTTTTTATTACTTTTCACTTTTTTAAGCATATTCGAACGATCCTAAAATAGAATAATAAACTATGTTATGATGAACGAGAAAGGAAAAATATCGTTTTATGTATATATATATATATAGATAGATACCTGCATGTGATTCTTGTTATTAAGTTCGTGGATTGCAGAAGAAGCGGAAGGGGAAGAATTCGGTTGAAATTGAGACTCGGGAGCCATGATCTCCACGGATGATAAAAGATGCGTCGAGGGGTTGAAAATGGGCATGACGGGAGGCGCCACAGATCTCAAAAACTCGTCGTGAAAAGTAGTTTGGTGACTATCGTTCGATAAAAATGGCAAGATAGAAGATGATGAGTTGAAAGGCTCCATTGAAGCCAAGTTGGAGAAAAGTTCGATATTTGTCGATGAATTGATCATCTTGATGAAATTGTGGCTTGTTAGGGTTGGGATGGCCTATATATGTTGACACACACACACACATTTATATGTATATATATAGAGATACAAATTTGTGTATCTATCTATATATATATATATATGTGTGTGCATGAAATGTAAATGGAAAGTATTCTTTCTTGAAAATGTGGGATTGATTGATTGATAGGCTAAGTCAATATGTAAGATTTTGATGCTTATGATATGTTACTATCATGTTTCCTAATAATAAAGACTCTACCTTTTGGCCCATATACCTATTGGAGATGGCTAATTCAGAAATTTTGTTGAAAAGTTTTCCTAAGCTAATCCAATTTAGGAGTTTTTTTTTTTTTTTTGTAAAAAAAAAAGGGTGTGTTTAGATATGTTTCGAATGTATTTTTTGAAATTTTATACTCCCTCCGTCCACCGCTTATCTATCCGTTTATTTTTTGCACATAGATTGTAGTATATTAGTATTATATTGATATGTGATACAATTAATATACATAAAGACTATTATACCCCTTAATATTTATGGTATTAAGTGGTGTTATTAGATGTCATTTGTGTAATATTATATAAAGGGTGGAGTAATTTTATATTTTAGTGGAAGGTACATTTACTAAAAAAAAAAAAAGAAATGGATATATTTGCGATGGACAGACTTAAATGGCAAAATTGATAGATTGACGGAGGGAGTATTGATTTTGCAATAGTAAAAATTGAATCGAAAGGAGTGATTGATAGGATATAAATGGGTATTGAATGTAATATTCTGAATAGAGAACAAAGTTTTGATATAATATTTCAAATAAACATATATATATATATATAATATTCTGTGTGGATGACAGGATTTTGATATAATATTTCAAATAAATATATATATGTATACAATATGATGTCTTATTTAAAAAGAAAACTGATAATGAATTGTACAATTCTAATAGACTGCAAACTAGATTGGCAAGTCACACGAATCATGTGTGGCACTCGAAAATATCAGAGAGTTCGAATCTATGATCTTACGGTCACAAGTTCATAAACGAAAATATTTTATTAATTAATGAATGGTTGCAATATTGATTTTAATATATTTTGCTTTTTGCAAGTACAAAAAAAAAAAAAAATTGTAAAAATTAAATATATTTTAGTATTTCTCTATTGGATAACTTTTATTAAAGGAATGCTTTTGAATAAAATAATATTTTTAATTAGAACCGTGACAACATTATTTTATTATTTTTATTTATTATATAGATAGAAATGAAAATTAATAATATTGCATATTTATAAGAAGACTCCTATTCAAATTATTTCCTAAAATATCTTAGAAGTTAGGGATGGTCCTATAAAATTGTACTTGATAATTAAAAATATTTTATTTAAAAAAATTATCAAACTATCTTGCCTAAAAAACAATAGTAGATGGGCATGAATATATAATGTGTGTATTTACATAACATTGTTTTAATTAATCTTAATTAATATATAATTATTAATAATTATTCATATAATATATATTATCGTTAATTTTAATACTTCCTTCGTCCCAATACAATAGTCTTGTTTACCATTTTTGTCTGTGCAAAACAATAGTCTCGTTTTCATAAATAATCATATCACCATAAAACTATCTCTACTTTTTTATTATTATTACACAATTGCTACTACTTTTTACACTAATATATTCACAAGGGCAAAAAAGTCATTTATCCTTACTTTTTATCGACTACCCTTATAATATCAGTATTCTTTAAATCTCGTGTCCAATACAATAAGACTATACTTTTAGGACGGAGGGAGTATAATACAATTATATTGTATGTATTGATAGTATGTAATAATAATCAACAAGGTACATATTTATTTAAGTATAGTCATACATTGAAAAAGAATTATTTATACTCCCTCCGTCTCATAACTAAGTATCCATTTACTTTTTGTATGTTGATCTTTGGATATAAATTATTATATCAAAATGTATTACAAATCAAGGAAAAACTGCAAAAATATTTCTGTCAGTGTCTTATAATACTAATATAATGACATTTGTTATACAAATATAAGGATATTTTTAACGTTAAGTACAATAACGCAAAAGGTAAATGGATATCTTGTTATGGGACGGAGGGAGTATATTGATTATGACTAATTAGTACGATGCTGATTAATTTTAATTAATATATATATTGACGTTACATTATTTATTTTTAATAAAAATAAATAAATAAGGATTTTTTCTTTTTTCTTTTTTTTTTATTTTTTTTATTTCTTTTTTGTTTAATTTTGAGTGGATGTAGTTTGATGGTGGGTCCATATTGAATTTCACAAATGAAGCAAGTGGACCATTAAATGCTTTGTTGTTTGATTAAGTATGATTCCATATAAGGATCTTAACTTGTGCATTGGGCTTTTGGAATCCAAATCATTTTCTATTTATTTTTATTATTATTATTATTTTATGTTTTTTTTTGGTATCATGCAATTTTACAGATAAATAATGATAAAATATTGTCTTTAATTTTTAAAATTTAAGTTAAACACATAAGAAAACACTTTTTTTTCATTTCAAAAATAAATAAATACACCAAAATTTTATGGGTGATTTTGGCATCACTATAATGTGTGTGTAATTATGGTTACATATATGATTGGTTGATAATTATCAATTTTACTAAAAGCCCTAATAATTTAATCAGTTGATGATTGATAAATTATTATGGCCAACTATAATTAAAAGAATGTAATTTTGAAGTTTTGGAATGTTGTAAGGATTGAGCTAAACCAGAAAATGTCGAAGCTTATTTTGGATACTCACCTAAAAGGAAATTATTCAATTGTCGACTAGTGAAAAATAAATAAATAAATAAATATTCCCTTATGAAAGTATTTGAACCCTAAAATTTAGAGAAAAGTAATCTTCTTGATCAATAGTATATATTTAAAGAATATAATAAGGTACTAATAATATAAATATCGAGCACATATTTGCATAAACACGCAACGTATCACCGTTAGATCTTATTGTATATCACATGTTAGCGTAACACAATAGTATTTAATAGAAAATTATAATACTCCCTCCGTCCCGAAATTAAGTATTCATTTGCTTTTTGCACGTAGTTTTAGAAATATTGGTATTATATTAGGATATAGTAGGAATAAAGTAGAAATGACTAAAATAACCTTATTAGTATGTGTGATATAAAGGTAATGGCATGTAATTTATTATAAGTTGTAAGGGTATTTGTAATGTTAGATAGATAGTACATTTACTAAAAAAAAGAAATAGATACTTTGTTATGGGACGGATGGAGGGAGTAGTACATAAAATTTTAATAGTTTATTATGTATACAATTCTCTATCTAATTAGCTCTGTAATCGCCCTTGTATGTATAATATTGAATTGTTGTTAAATACACAATAAACAATTTTAAATAAATACTCTTTTTGTCCCACTTTTTATGTCCACATTTCCATTTTCGTCTGTCCTATTTATTTTGTAACTTTCTTTGTTTGGAAAATAATTATACACTTTAACCTTATTTTTAAAAATTTAATTTATAATTTTTTAAATTTTAATTATATTAATCAGTTATCTTAATTTTAATCAATAATTATTTCTATTATACGATAATTATTTTCACTAATATGTCTACGATAAAACAGACAAAATATCCGGGACGGAGTCAGTACTACCAAATTATCCATACAAAAAGCTCTTCTCCTTGAATTTTTTTTTTTTTTTAATTTTCTTTACTAAATATAAACATCACCATTTTGAATAAAAATATATTTGCATCATCCACAAAGAATACACATTTTGCCATTTAGGGTTATCTCACTACAAATAGATACATTTCCTTATTTAGTAAACATGAACAGTATAATGTTATCTTACTTTTTACTCTTTTGTAATATTTAAGTCAAAATATCATTCTTACCATTTTTATTTATCCCGCTCAAAAATATCTATTGTTTATTTTAAAAAAAAACTAATACTAAAATACATATCATTACACGTGCAATTACTTTGTACTTAAAATCAAAAGGCAAAAATATCAAAATGCTATTACACATTTTCAATCACCAATAAAATAACTCCGATAAAAGTGTATTATTTTTCACATAAAATATTCATATACACATTTCCAATCACCAATAAAATATTATTACTTTTTAATCTACTGTAAAAAAAAAAAAAAAAAAAAAAAAAAAAAAAAAGGGCACCCTCACACCCTCTCTCTACCAAATATAAAATACTATCATTCCTTAATCAACATACGAACAACAAATATATTTATTTTTAGCAAATAAAACTATATTTCTCTAACAAAATATCAAATATAACTGCCTATGAAAACACAAATCACAATTATTATTATTTTTCCAATAAAATTCTCTTCTTGATTCCTATTCAATAATTAGTATCTTCATAAATTGATGAAAACTTCAATCCCACCACCCTAAGACTAGATAGACAGATAGATGTCCATGCATTAGTTATACTATTATTAAATATTAATATTATTATTATTATTATTATTATTATTATTCGAATTTTCCATGCAGAGAGCTTTCAGGCTTCCCTTAGTGGATATGACAGGAATGCATGCACCAATACTCAATACCTAAACTTAGTATCAAATTTAAGTCAATTCAATTCTTTAAAAAAAAATAAATAAATAACAAAATAAAAAGTTCTAACTAAAGATTTCTTCAACAGTCACATTCCTTTTCTATATAGACTAGACAGACCATAACCAGCCCCACTAGGGATATAGTTATGGTTATGGATATTGGGTATGGGCCCCCCACTTACTTCCATAAACCTAGGAAATGAACAAACTCTATTTCTCTATATCTATATCTATATCTAATTCTAATCTAATCATTGAGATCAAATCTCCACCGTTGATCTCTCCCTCATCTTCTGTCTTCTTTCCCTTCCCATCCCCTTCTGTACTAACCACCTCACTTTTCACCTCACCCCAAATTTCAGATCCATTCCTAATTCCCAAGACAAGAAAATTCTCACTTTCCCACTATCAATACATAAATAAATTATACCTACAATCCATTATGTATAAATATACAACACAATATATATATTCATATAATACAAATACCGACGGTAGCCCATATGGCACCCAAGGTCTAATAACACAACAAACATATAAAATAAATTTGCCAGCATATACTAACCTTGTACATAACATGTGTTATCTGTTGTATTTTCATATGCTATTAGAACTTCCTCTAAGAGGCAACAAACAATAGACATTTCCTTTTTTGAAATGCCAAAATACTTGCAACTTAAGAGTATTTTAGTCTTTAAACATTTATACACTATCTATAAATATAAAACATTATTATTCTTTAATTAAAATACAACGACTGCTATATCTATACTTAAGTGGACTAAAAGAGTATATTCTAAGCATACTTTCCATTCTCAAGAAAACCAATGCAAGGACCAAAAAAATGTGGGCAGCACAGAATCCCAGCCGTTGATTTGTGTGATCCGTGTAGATGCACAAGATCAACGGCTGTGATCCACTGCAGGCAAACAAATCAACAGCACTAAAAACTCAGGAAAATCAGCAACAACAGGCTTAAAAGTTGAAGTAAAATCAAACAAGTGTGGATTAGAACATGAGTTGGTATTTTTACAAACACACCTTCAAACCATATCAAACAATAGCCTGGTTGCAGTCGTTATCTGATTGTCTTTAACATTTATATTTTCAATCACTGTTTTTCTTAAATGAAAAGAAGAAAATTCCTTTTTTGGGTGACTTTAATCACACATGATTGCCAGAAAGCTTACTTGAAAACATGATGTTGTCTCCTCGTCCAATTTTTGGATGCTTTCCACTTCACTTACCTCCTTTGCCATAACTATCGCGTAGTGTAACAGTGCGATTGAACACAAGCTTTTCTGGTGATGAATCTTTATCAACCACAAAATAGCCTGGAATGCAAGGAGAGAACAATTGACAAAAAAAATAAAAAATAAAAAAATACAGCTTGACCAGGAACTTTATTCGAATCAAGGTATATAAATTGTGAAATTGAGCTCGACAGTTTAGTGTAGCATTATTTAGTCTATTTTTTAACTAAACAAAATATGGGATGAGTGCAGTGTGAGAGTTTAGGTGAGGAACTTACCAAGTCTTTCGAACTGAAATGTGTCGCCAACAGCAGCATTTTCTAATGAAGACACTGCGTATGCATCGTTCACAACTTCTTTTGAGTGCAGGTTCAAATCCTTGAGCCAATCATCGAGCTCGGCAGGGTTCTGTTTGCAAAACCAAACACCAATAAGTTTTGTAAACCAAGAACTTGCAAGACTCAGAGAGTTGAACAGATGTGGTTAAGTCGCTGAGAGTTCAAACCTCTGACATGAACAGCTTGTCAAAGAGCCTAACTTCGACCTTGATGGGGTCAACCCCTGGTGAAGTTTCCGAGACCCAATGTAAAACCCCCTATAAACAGAAAATTACAGAAATTGGAGAACATTCAATAAATTTTCGACTAATTCATACTTGACTAAGAATTTATTCAGATGGAACCACCTTCGGTTTGCTCTTCTTCGAGGGGTCATACTCAGCGTGAATCTCAAGAATAGTCTCAGGATCGTCACCATATATCACTTCTGTGCACTTGATAGGAAACGCATACCTAAATCACAATATTGAAATCTTTCAATCCAATGAACGATCAATGATGCATATAAAATTCAAACCAAAAATAAAAGGCACCTAAGGAGGACAGATTTCCCAGGAGCAAGGCCATAATAATCTTTAGAATCTTTCACCCGAAAATCTGATTTTTCAATGTACACGACCTTAGAAAAGGGAACCTTAAAAAACAGCAAATAGAATCAAATTATAACTTGCAATTAAGCAGCAGTGATTTTTCAGGAATACATTATTAATCAATACAACAAGTGCTGTTCAGGGTTCAAAATAGGGATAGATAAAAACATAAGAAAACCTTATAAAATGAAGATGCATCGTCTGCAGGAGCTTCGGGCCATTTCTTTGCATCAAGTTCCATCACAGAGGCATCCATATTTGTAATCACAACCTGAAAACCAACAGGGAAGCAAAGATAGATTGTTGCGGGCAAAATTCACATACAATCAGGAAAACAAAAGGCGATTAAAAACAATAGCCACATATAGATGCTAAAAATACATACCTTTAATGGATTAAGAACCACCATTGCCCGAGGGGCAGTTTTGTTCAATTCTTCCCTTATATGGTATTCCAGACGGTCGAGACGAATCATACTACTGTCACTGCAGTACAAAAATCAATTCGTAAGCATAGAACAAAGATTCATAAGTGTAAAAGATTGGTTTGGAGAAGGAAATTCCACCTCCTAGTTATTCCAATTCCCCGAACAAAAGCATTTATCGAAGTTGAAGTAACCCCCCGACGCCGCAATCCAGCCAGTGTCATGAGACGGGGATCATCCCAGCCATCAACATACTTTTGGGTTACAAGTAGATTCAACTGTAACATGCCACAAAGGATCAGTTCATAACAAAGAAAAGGAAAAAATAAAAATAAAGTTGAACAACACGGGACAACATTCCCTAAAACTTCAACAGACCTTACGCTTTGACATCACTGTGTTGGTCACATTCAGTCGTGAATATTCCCATACATAAGGTTGATAAAGGCCTAGTGCATCTAACAACCAGTAATATGATGCACGCCGTGTCTCGAATTCTAGGGTGCACAGCTACATAAAATAATCGATCACATATATTAATAACACCTAAGAAGCATAACAGCTAATTAAAGTGGCATACTACAACCAACCAAAAATATTAATAATGAGCAAAAAATATATATTCAAAAGAAAACATTATAGATGATGCAAAACGAGCACTGCAAGGGGAAAAAGTGGTATTCTCTTATTTATATATATATATATAGAGAGAGAGAGAGAGAGAGAAAGAGAACACATTTTACCGAGTGAGTAATGTTTTCAAGGGAATCAACAATGCAGTGGGCATAATCGTAACTAGGATAGATGCACCATTTATCTCCGGCATGTGGATGAGGCGTGAACTGGACAATGACAATATGGTGAAGAAAATTAGTAAACCTTTTAAGCAATTCACGTCATAGTTACAACACCCGAATACTAACCTTGATGCGATAAGCAATTAGGTCATACATATTGAAGTTATCACTCTGCATATCCTGCTTCATTCTTAATGTTGCTTTCCCTTCCTCAATCAGTCCCTTCTTCATATCGTCAAACACTTTAAGTGATTCTTCAATTGGCCTGTCTCTCCAAGGACTGTTCATCTTTTTTTCCCTATATTCTTTTATCTCTTCCGGTGTCTGCATTAAACAAAAAAATGCATTCATCATCACACCCAAATTCCACATATGCGCAACAAACATAATCTGATGTCTCACTTTTACAACATTCTTTACTTCAAAGGAATAATATAAATTTAGAGAATCAAATAAATAGTTCAACAAGTACCAAAAGTGCAGGGCAAGCGATGAGATGAAAATTTGGTGAGAACCAACCTGGTGGTCTACATAAGCATGACCACGCCGAATAAGCTCCACTGCCAATTCATACAGCTCTTGGAAATAATCACTAGTGTAGGTGATCTGAAATTATTCACATATATTAGTGTTGTGCGTCTAGTAAAAAGAGAATCGTTTCGGAAGGACTTATACCTTAAAGGGTTCCCACCCCATCCATCGAACAATTTCTTCAATATGATCAATATATTCCTGTTTCTCAGCTTCAGGGTTGGTATCATCATACCTATACATCAAACCAATTTCCAATATGGGAAAATCATTATTGCAATTCAAAACAATCAACTGTTTCTCACTTTCCTTTTCATACTAACCATTCTCATTTACCAACTTTTTAACAGAAGAAACAAATTTGAATGGCATTATCCATTCTTCCATGACCAATTAAGATATTTCCACAAGCTTGATTTGGAAACATTTGAGACAATTCTCAAACTTTTAAGCAAGCACAGCATGGGAAATATGATTTCAGTGTTGATGCAACTAACCCAAGATTTATATTTCAACTTCACACCCATAAACTGCCACAAAATAAAACTTTCTAACTGATATTTAAAAGTTGTCATTTATTTTGAAGGGCATATTAAAAGTGTTACGACAATGGTCAAGTCATTGTCAACAAAGGAATTCGTTTTCTCAGTTTACAGAGTAAAGGTCATTAATTTATTAGAACATCTGGGCCAAAATCATTTTTACTCTCACAAAAGTTCATCCGATCTACATGAGAAGTAGATTTTATATTTCATGTGTTGTTTCATTGATCATACTAAATCAGAAAAAAGTAACATAAAAACAGACTTTCATGAACATTACTCTGAAATAATAACGTAACATATTTGGATTGACAATAAGCAATAGTGACACAGATATCAGCACATGGAAAAGAATGTGCTAGAATAGTAAGAATATCATTTACCGCAAGTAGCAGCATCCCCCTCTATCTTTTGCTAGGCCAAAGTCCACAAACATAGCCTACAAAATTGGCGATTCAGATAACTAGCAACATAAAGAATGTATATAAATTTAACTTCATATACACCTTGGCATGGCCTATATGCAGATATCCATTGGGTTCGGGTGGAAAACGCGTAAAAACTTTTCCTCCAGTGACCTTCAAATGCTTGTCAAGTATCTCCTTTGAATTGCAAGCCCTAAGCACTGGTCGATCACTGAAATATATTTCAGTATGCACCTGAAAATCATGAGAATAGGTAAGAAAAAGAAGACAATGAAAAATCTAAAGTACCAGTTGGCAAGGTTCAAGGAATCGCGGAAACAAGTTGTGCTGAAGTGTGAATTACAGTACCTTAATTCCTCCTTTCGTGATATATGCTAAAGAAGTTTCATGAAGTTTAATATAAAATCCTAATCATATCTCAGAGATTATGCCATAGGAACCTAGGTTGCCACCAAATTATCACTAGACCTTTCAACTCTCTGAGTCAACACTCCAAGCATTATTACGACAACAGAAGAAACATTTCAATTTCTCCTACCTTGAAGTTCTCCTCCGGTGAAGGAAATATTGAGTATGGATTGATTTCTTCTTCAGGTTGTTTTGCTGCCTCTTCAACAACTTTTTCCTGATAAATTGAAACATAAGCGCGCAATACGTGTGGCTAATACACAGAAAAGCTGAAATTTACATGTGAATACTTATTAATAAATTGAATAAATATAGGATTTGTTTGCCCAACACTTTTTTCCCTACACGATTCTCAATATATATAATATATTATATTATATTCTGTCACAAAAAGTTAACATTCAACATAAAATATAATTTTTATATCATCAACACAATTTCATATAATTTCAAACCAAAACACTAAACAAACAACCCAATGAATGCTGGCACAATAAAAAGATAGTAAAGAAAACTAAATATTTAAGAGCACGCATTCAAGAACTCTGAAGAGCAACTCCTATGGCAAATATTCAACAAGAATCCTCAAGTCCCATCAGTTTAGCTCACCTCAGCTTTGCTAGGCTTTTCTTTTTTCTTTTTCTGTGGCTTCTCATTATCTGCAGCTGTTCTTTCACCAAGCAGGGAATACAATTTTGCATCAATGATTTGCTTCAGCCAGAAAATAAAAAGGAAGTTAATTAGAAAGATAAGTCAATGTTGTTATCTGATCAAACTTGTCCTAAGAAAACTAACCAACAGGAAAAATGATGGGGATTAATGATTACCTTGACTATCTTTGGGTCCGCCCACGGAAGTTTCTTTCTCACATGAGCAAATAGTTCACCAACTGCATATAATGTCATTCACCATAAAAGCCAATTATCATCATACAAAATCAAGGAACCAGCAATTTTAGCCTTAGAAGCTTGAATAGATACAAACTGATATATAATATCCCTCAAGATAGAAACATTATGCGCAAAGTTCACTGATTAAGTTATTCCATAATCTTTCGAAATATATATGTGTTTTGTTCTGCTAAATCTCCTCAGAAAGCAAAAGATTCAATTGAGCATTCAGTACCAACTAATTAAAAAGTCCACATATAGAAGGAATAATGAAAAGAACAGTTAGAGGTTATGTTGCACAAAAAACCAACCATTCGTTCGATACCGCTGCTCAATAATAGAAGATTTGTTCTCTTCAAAAATCTCATCCACTGCACTTTCAATATCCTCCTGGGAAACCTCAACTCCTAATCAAGACAAGATTCATCATCGTGATGAAAGATATGGTAAGGATAGGGCAGATGAGCAACAGATCACTTGCTTAAAGTGTATAACAGTTTCAAAACAATGGCAGACTATAGCAAGAGGTAAATGCTGTCTCGTACCAACACCACAAGCTGCTTCAAAATCATCAACCTTCAAGCTGTCAGAAGCAGTAGCAGCGAGAAACGAAAAAGCAGCTTCTAATTGAGCAGGAGTTTTAATCTATGCAAGAAAGTGAGAGAGAGAGGGAGGGACTAATTATTTTTTGCGATAAATGGCAACAAATTTTGACACTATGAAAAGATACAGCCAAGGCACCACACATAGTAAACAAAGAAAAATTAAATATCCCACCTTCAATGAAACAACATATTTAAGCAACGCAGGCCGATGCACAAGAGCATTTGTCGGGAATTTAGTAGCAACCTGCCGAAAGAATTTAAGTGAACCTATATTAGAAAAGAAGTTTTGAACATTAATAACAAACAAAAATTAAAAATAATAAAGTAATGCAGCATCGGCAACTATCATCCAAAATAGATTCCATTAGAGCTGTGTAACTATAGATACTTTCGATATCAACCAAGCCTATGAATCAAGAAACCAGATACAGACCAATTTACGCAAACGAACCCCTAACACCCCACAAGTCAAACATAGTTTTCTGGTGAGAGTTCCAAATTACCGTGTAGAGTAGATTTCCAACTATCCGATCGCATCCATCAGTTACGGCAGCCTGCAAAGTCACATTCGCAGAACCACGTAATAAGATCTTTCCAGTCAAAAGTATTACCAAATTAAATTAAATAAATGGGAAAATAGTAAGACCCAGTTCAACAGATTTTCCTAGGCACTTTCCTCTTAATCCACACCAAAATTTCCCAAACAATATTACTTGCTCTAAAATCATAAAATCCACTTAATTATCCTCATGTACTTCCATAACTCTCGTGTCTGCATAGTATTGTCGAAGAAGCTTGTTTCCTAATAACCTTAGTTAAAATTTTATATCATCTCATCAAGCAACATAAAGGATAAAGAAAGAGCGAAAATTATAAACTGAAAGAATACATATAAACCAGAATTTAATCAAGAACTATAGACAAACAAGAATATCGTTCATGTATACGTCAAATTTTTATCAAAATTCGTAAGATTTTCATCCAAAATCATCACATCCAGCAGTAATTTTCCATTCAAAACATAACCTCCAGAAGCTATCTCAAATTAAACACATCAACAACACAAAATAAAATAAATAAGAAGAAGAATACACGCCCAACATTTCTTTATGCCAAAAATTCTTCCCCATACTGGCGTGCAATCCATATAACCAATTTAACATTTCTCCCTAATTTTCCAATAAACCCTAAGTTGCAGACTTATCAACAAAACCAACAAGCACAGCAAAAAAAAAAAAGAAAAAAACACACAATCGAAATTTAAACAATAAAATAAAATGAATCATTGCGTGAAACCAGATGCAGGGGAAACACACCTCGTGAATGACGGCGGTGAGATTAGCGGTAACCTTATTGTTGGCGATGGTATTTTTTGCAGTCCTTTCATCCAAACCAATTTTGAGAAACAAATCCAACGACTTCTCGGCCCCACCATCACTCTCGTTCTTGCCCACCATGGCTGCTCGTTACCTTCCTGCGCCAAGTAGAAGCCCTAAACCCTAGTGGGAGAGGAGAGAGGGAAATATGATGCTTAAGGAGATTCTTGTTCGGCTGCAACACAAGATTTTACCATTTATATTATTATAACTTTGGAAAAAATCAATACTTTACAACTTACAACGGAAGAAACTGCTGACGACGTTATTGCTGATGTGGACTCAATGGTCTGACGTGGCGACCCAACACGGCTATATTTTATAAACACGGCCGTGTTAGTTAAAACTTAAAAATATAAAATAAAACAACGGAGGATGAAGAAAGAGGAAAGTGAAAAAGAAAGAGGGAAAAATTCGTGAGCGGCGCTCTGGATGTCAAAATAACGGTTGATAAAAGATAGTTTGGATATAAATTTAATTTTAAATATTCATTTGTTTTTTTACTTAGTTTTGAAAATATTAGTATTACAACGGATATAGTAGGAATAAAGTAGAAATGACTAAAATAACTTTGTTAGTATATGTGATATAAAGGTAATAGCATTTGTGTAATATATTGAAAGTTGTAACTGTATTTGCTGTGATATTACTTAAAAATAAATAAATAAATACTTTGTTATGAAACTGAGTAAAATGAAAAAATTGAATATTTTGTTATAAAAATAATAAAGTAATTTTGTTTTTTTTTTTTACTAACGGTATTATATCATTAGCTTTGTATTATACTATAAGAATAATTTAATTTTTTTATCTTTATATTCAAATTCACAGCTTCTTATATTGCCAAACCAAAAAAAAAGAAAAGAATGAAAAAATAATAATTACTACAATATCAAATATCAATTTATATATATATATATATTGTGTAGCAAAAGCTTAAAGATGTGTTTACTCGTGATTTGTCTTTTGATTTTATTTATTTTAATTTTTTTTGAAAATATATTAAATTAAAAATTTATTTTTATTTATTATATTATATGAAAAAATATATTTTATATTTATTTTAATTAAGTTTACTATTCTAAATCAAAATTGTCCGAATAAACACACCTTATAAATTAATAATTTCTTGCTAATTTGTGTTAAAAATAATAATAGTAATAAAAATAATAAAAATATAAAAATGAATATGACTGAGTTTTTTAAGCTTATATTGGGTTTTAGGTACCAAAAATCAACGATAAAAAAACAAAAAACAAAAAAACAAAAAAAAAAAAAAAAAAACTTACAACATATATCCCTTGGTCGCCTTCAAAATCCACCGACGCTACTTCGCGCTTCATCTACCACCATTTTCTGGTAAGCTTTCTCACTTCCAATCCACAATTTGTTTTGAATTTCTGCTTTTAAAAAAAAAAAAAAAAAAATTGTCCCTACTCTTGTTTGCACCGAATTAATCTGATTTAATAATCCGTTGAATGGATTGGCCTGAGGTGTTCTTTAAATTGTAAAGTATTTTATTTGACATCCGTTTGCATTTTTCTCTGGGCTTTATTTTTGCTAGTTAATTTGGCGTTTGTTCTTTTGAAATTTGAGTGTAGCATGTCGATCACAGCATTTTCATTGAAGATTTAGAGAATAATTGATTTTACCAAGTTTGAATACCGCTATTATGTGAAGAAATGCTGGAATTCCTACTAGGGTTTATCATTTTGAATGGAATAGAACTTTTATGCATAGTCAATGTTGTTTTTGATTCAGATCTTAGTACCAGTTCACTGAATATGTTTGCAGGAGCATTGTTCTGCATTGTTATCTATGGAATTTCGGTTTTTGAGTGTCCTTTTGTTTAGATTTGGTTTGCTATGCTGCGTTTTTTGAGTTGAATTTGTTATTTGCATGAATTGATTTTAGGGTTGGAAACTGAAAGACTGATAGTGAGAAGGTTGTGTCATTCATGGAGATTTAATTGGTTGATGGGACTTGAGGAAGCGCCTAGCTGAATATAGTTAAGATTTTTGTAAAGATTCTTATTGGTGGCTGCATTTTAATTTTGTGTTCCTGAAGAAGGAGAAAAATGTTTTGGAGGGAGAGGGAAAGGGAGAGCAAAGAACAAAATGGTGGACCTCCTGTTGGGCAGGTCAGAGTGCTTCTTGTTGGGGACTCAGGTAACTTCTGATTGAGAGATCTTATGTTTCTTCACGAAATTTTTGTCATTTGTTTTTTCTTGTCTGGATTGTTTAGGTGATGATTTGAATATTTTGCATTTCTTCAAGATGCTTTTAAGTTTTAAGGATTTATATTTTAGTGTAGAATTGTTAATTTGATATTCAAACAAATAATAGCTCTATTTTTGTAACCGAAGTGCATGGATCATCTAGATAAGGTCAGGTTTTGGGTCGACACTGTGACTGAAAACAATGACAATAATATGTCCTTGTTATTCTTCAAGAGAGAATGTTGGATGAGATTGGGATCATTATATTGATTTCGTCGGCATGAGTTATGGGGACAAACGGATCTGATTAAAACCTAATCTTTACATCGCATAAGCACAGTCAAGAATAATGGCTTTCATGAGTTTATATGGATAATTTGAAATGAGATTAATCACTGTAGTCGATGAAGACTAAGAATGCAAGAGATAACAGCGGTGTAACTGTATAGGAGATGGTTTAGAGTAATATAAGTAGCTTATAGTTTCCGATGGAGTGTTCTGTGCCTTCTCAATGATAACATTGATGTTAAGTAGCATATCCCATGTTCCATCATCCATGGTGTTTGCCATAATGAGCTACGATGTGGTATTGGTCTAATCTCTGAATGATATGGAGCACCCTTGCTGTTTAACCTATGGCTTAAATATAAACATTTCCAGCAGGGTTCGTGGTTTTTAGTAGAAAAAACTGAGAAAAGTAAATATGCAGATAATCCCTTCATATTTACTTAAATGTGCAAGAAGTTGTGTTAAGAGGTAAATTGGATAATATTTATGAAAATTATAACAGGATTACTTGCATATGTATATATATATATATATATTTCAATAGGTTTTTAGTTTTTGAGAAATGTGAAATTTCATAATGGGTAATTTATGTTTAACCCTTTAATAAGCATATAGATTATTATGTTCGTGCATGACAATGCCTACCGAATTCCACAAAAGTTCAATCTTAATAAATTTGGATTACTATCAACCAACTCCTAGATAAATAGAGTGGGATCAATGAGCACCTTAATTAAACAGGGCCTGGTTATGGTTATTTTTTGTTGAAAATCAATTGTCGCTACATGAAGTATGTGTTGTATAAGTGAGTCTGTGACACCCGGCCCGCAAACCACGAAAAGCTGGGCGTGTCAAGATGTGGTAGACTAGCCTCACAGGTTAACACAAGTCCTTCTAGCGCTTCTGTTATTACTCACGCGTACCCTGGAAAACTTCCCATGGGGTCACCCAGCAAGCACGTTTAATTTTAGACTTCTTTCAATAGGGCTTTCGGAAATAAATGTGCACATTGTTTACATGAGTAGTCTATTTAATTCATTTAACCTCTGATCAATCTCGGATGGCCTGGCACCAACTCATCCACGGGAGTTGGCCTAGTACCAGCCCAACTCCGGGAGTATTACAGAGTTTACGAAATCGATACGAGCCATGTGTCATTTGTAAACATATTTTTGTGATTAACTAGCAAACTGTTGTTTTAGTTTTCTTCAGTCTTGTAGCTACATGCACGCCCTTTGGGTTGATCTTTATTTTGATATTGCAAGATTTCAAAAGATCTGACGAGTGAACTTCAAAGTTTTTTTTCCCTTTCATATTAATATATATTTAAAATAATATTTTGTGTGCTGTTGTGAACACCTTTATCAAACAGGGTCTGGTTATGGTTATTTTTTGTTGAAAATCAATTATCGCTACATGAAGCATGTGTTGTATAAGTGAGTTTACCAGATCGTTATGAGCCATGTGTCATCTGCAAACATATATTTGTGATTAACTAGCAAAGTGCTGTTTTAGTCTTCTACTCTTCTTCAGTCTTGTAGCTACATGCACGCCCTTTGGGTTGATTTCTATTTCGATATTGCAAGATTTCAAAAAGATCTGACGAGTGAACTTCAAAGTTTTATTTTCCCTTCATAATAATATATATATTTAAAATAATAGTTTGTGTGCTGTTGTGGCTTCTTTTAACCTAAGCTTCTCTACTGGCTTTTTGTGGTAGTAAGTTCTATTATTCTCTCATATGTCTAATAGTTTAGTTAACAGCAGTTTTAAACAATATTATAAGGTTACATATCTATTTGAATCCTTGGCCAGGTGTGGGGAAAACTTCTATTGTCCATCTAATTATGAAAGGCTCTTCCATTGCTCGACCTCCTCAGACAGTTGGTTGTACTATTAGTGTCAAGGTAGGTTTCAATTGATTTTTCATAAGAATAAGTCAGAGCTACTCTTGTAAATTAGGCAAGACCACTTGTTTTGATTTGCAGCATATAACTTATGGAAGTTCCGGTAGTTCATCAAGCAGCATCAATGGTGATAATGAGAGAGATTTTTTCGTTGAACTCTGGGACATATCTGGACATGAGCGCTATAAAGATTGCCGGTCTCTGTTCTATTCTCAAATCAATGGTCAGTAATCGTGGGGTTTTGTGTCTTCTTGATTTATTTACGTATTTAAAGCATGGCATGGATAGGTAGCAAAACATTTTCGCAATTAGGTAGATTTCATTTCATGGTGCATATTGTTTTTAACTGATCTGTACCTGAGTTACTCATCCACTGATATATAAGTACTGAGTCTTCTCTTACTGAATAACTATATTTCATCTAGAGCTAGTTGAATTGTTTCATATATTTCAAGCTAAATTTTTTTCGAAGTTTGTTTTTGTTGTTCTTAAGGTTCATGGTTGTAAGTCAATATCTTTCGCATCTGGCTTTAGGTGTTATGTTTGTTCATGATCTTTCTCAAAGAAGGACAAAAACCAGCTTGCAGAAGTGGGCTGCCGAAATCGCAGCAAATGGGACATTCTCAGTTCCTTTAGCATCTGGAGGCCCAGGGGGGCTTCCAGTTCCCTATATTGTTATTGGTAACAAAGCGGATATTGCTTCAAAGGAGGGCGCACGAGGAAGCAGTGGGAATCTTGTTGATGTTGCTCGTCAATGGGTTGAGAAACAGGGTTTACTTCCATCAAGTGAGGAACTTCCACTCACTGAGAGTTTCCCTACCGGTGGAGGCCTTCTGGCAGTAAGTTTAGTTTTTGAACATGTTTAACTAGTTCTTAACTTTCGTCTTACATATGAATGAACTGCTTAGCTTTGCAATACCCCATTATTTGAAACTTTTGGACTTGCCTTGCATCATTTATACATAACATATTTTGATTTTATGAGAAGTAATGATAATACTGTAGGTGCTTAACTGAGGATCTTATTGCCGCTTTGTAATCTGGGTTCGGAGCCTTACTCAAGTTTGATGAGTGGTTTGCATACTTGTGTGTCTAACTATACTTGTTTATTTCTATATTGGAATTTTCCAGTATGTAGAGAAAAATAATCATTTTTGAGATTCAATCCTTGAAGATTATAAGTAGATCAATCCAATCATGGCTTAGGAATGAAATAAGGACAAACAATATAAGCATGAAGCATATAGTTTATTGAATCACAGTGAGTTATAACAATGACTCATATGGTTTCAGATATCTCCTTCCCATGGCTACAATGAGTAGTTTTTTTTTTTTTTTTTTTTCAGGCTGCAAAAGGTGCCAGATACGACAAGGAAGCAGTTTTGAAATTTTTTAGAACGGTATGTGTATGGCTTCAAGCTCATGCTTTCATTTGTTTTGGGAGCACAGTTCTGATGAGTTTGATGTTGTTTGCAGTTGATCAGGAGGAGATACTTTTCCGACGAATTGCCTGGTGCCAGCCCTTGGTCTTCCCAAGTTAATCGCCCATTGTTTCAATCAAGTGAAATTATAAGTGATGATGAGCAGTCGTATAAAAGTTCAAGGTATGATATGCAACACAAATAGCTTATTCTGGCCATTATCTGTTTCAGATTTTCTGAAATAGGCATTGCATTTTATTGAATAAAGCTTTCGTGCGAAACTTATCAAGCATGCACTTTACTTGAGCTATAGTAACATTTTCACAAAACTACTTTCATTTATCGATGGATAGTTTGCAACTCACTCCCTCTAAAATATGAGATACTTAAAACCCATTTTATGAAATGATTGTAATATATATATATATATATATATCCTAGTGTTTGTATAAACTCCAAAAGTCTTTATGTAGTGTTCCTGTTCTTTTGTGAGTTTTACCACAAATTTTTACTATTCAAATTCTTTTTTCTCTCCAAAAACATCACATCAAACAATTACTTTTCTTTTTTTATATTATATTAAAAATTTATTTTACATTCAAAACATCACATTAACATCTATTTATATCACATTCAAATTCAACTTTTTACTATTCAAAAATTCAATCCCACTGTTAATTTACTTATTTTAATTTAGGGGGCTTCTTCCTCATCTTTGTTGTTCATTTTAACATCTCCATACTCAAGTTTTTTGTCTTTATAAATCAGTGTATGGATCAAAACGACACTGTTAATTTTGAGTAAAAATCGCACGATTTGCTTTTAAACTCTCAAAAAAACCTCATTCTATGTTGAATTAGATATGTTTATAACCAATAATTTTTTCATTAGTTTCTTTATGTTCGACTTGAGTTTGTTCTTTTCCAACAAGAGTGTAGCCAAGAACGCACAGTTTCCGCCTTATTTTTGTCCTTCCTGCTTTCTCTGGTTATTTTTATGATTGTGAAATGTGAGAGGACCTATCAAATTAACATGAAACTTCATTTAAAGCATGAAATGTAGAATGATACAAGTTGAATAATACCTGCAGTTTTATCCGTCGATTACTATGTCTCATTTCTGTGTTGTGTTACAGTTTAACCGGCGATGGGTACAACCAAAACGTGCTTCCTCCCCTTCCGGCACAGGGAAACTTGACGCCGCCTCCAACATTGTACCCGCAGCAACCCATGTCGACCCCCAGCAACAATTACAAGGTCCCAAGATTCACCTACAACAGCTCCCAAGATGTGGCTGGTGTGAGATCGAAACGTCTGGATATCAACGTGTAACCTGAGTAGTATTCATTCCTTGCACACATGTTGAGAGTGATCGATCAATGATGAAAGGTACATATCTATTATGGGTGTGTTTGTTTGGGGGTTTGGATTTTTGATTGGGATTTGAATAGTAAAAATTTTGAATTTGAATAGTTGTATGATGTGATATAAATAGGGTTTGATGTGATGTTTTGAATGTAAAATTGATTTTTAGTATAATATAAAAAATAAAAAATAGGTGTTTGATTTGATATTTTTGGAGGGAAAAAATTGAATGAATAGTGGAAATCCTCCAAAATCCTTCAAACAAACACACTCTATATATATATATAGATTTTATACTGAAATGAAATAGCATTTTCTCTCATTCTATCTTTTCTTTTATATTTTATGATGTGAAAATTCGCAGCTGTTGTTCGAGAATGAGTACTGGGTAAGCTTCCGGCCGAACCTAATACGTTGCAAATTAAGCCCGACAGTGTACGTGTATGCACTGTATAATCATTTTTTTTAAAATATATATATGTATATATATATTGGTGATCATTTTGATTTGATTCATAGGTTTCATTTCCATGTTTTGAACCTAGGGAAGTTTTCACACAAAGTTAAAGTAATATTGGTTTTTTTTTATATGGTTTTCTATAAATATTATTAAAAATATATAATATAAATACACTGATATGATAGTATATATATTATTCATTTTAAAAAATCAATAATTCAATACAAATTATTTTGATGTTATATTATTACAAAATAATTTTTTATTGTTAATTTAAAAAAATAGATTATGCTATATATTATTGAAAAATAGTGTATAAATTGGTAATTGAATGGGAATTTATGTTAAATTTATCTCATTATTAAATTCATGACCTCAAGGTGGCAAGTTCAACTATCTAAAGTTCTAAATTAGTATTTTTTAAAATATTTTTTTTGAAAAAAAAATGGATTTACAAACTAACATTTAAAAGATAAAAGAAAAAGGGGATTTGTTTGCTTTATGTACTCTTTAGTGTAAAGAAAAAAAAAAAAAAATTATGCGAAATATATAAAATTGTATAGATAATATAAAATTAATAATTGTACTATATTATTTTCTTAGAAAAATTGTGTTTGATATTTTTTTAAAATGAACACATCATATAGTGTTTTGAAACTCAACTTAAAATTGCATGACATTCCTTATAGTGTCAATAATTTTGCATGAAACTTCTTTATATATTTTTTACATGACGAAAGTTTTATGCAATATTTTTAAAATACAAAGAAACGCTATAAAATTTCTAAAATACAAAAAAATCTACACTAAAATTTCAAACCATATAAAAATTATAGACAATTTTACCATAATTTATGTATTTTCAACACAATATTGAATAAATTTATTCACGGATGCAGCCACAGCCGCTAGGGGTGGGCAAAAAAATTGAATCAAACTGTTGAACCGTTGAATCGAACTGAACCGAACCGAATTTTCGGTTAACCGAGCAAATTCAGTTTGAATACAAATACTGCATATTTGATATTTGCTCGTTTCGGTTCGATTTCGATTTTTGATATTTTTTCGGTTTGGTTAACTGAACCGAATATATTTATATATTTATGTTATTATATTTTAAAATTTATATTAATAATTATATTCGGTTCGGTTTTAGTTCGGATATTTGAAATATTTACAAATATTTTGATTTAATTAGAATTTTAATTAATTTTTTAATATATTATTTTTTAATTTCGGTTCAATTCGAATTATTTGCAAATATTTTCGGTTAGTTTCAGTTCGCAATTTCAGGTATTTGTTTGATTCAATTCGAATATCAAATACCTGCACATTTCCAAATATCCGAATTGTATCAACGCTAACAGCCGCTATTTTAAAAACGAAGGTTTAGAGGCACGTGAGCCACCCGTGCTTTGACATAAAACGTTTTTTAAAAGCAACAAGTCGTTTCAAAAGTCGCATCTATATACCAAACCCGAATTTATCCGAAGACGGTTCGGATCCGGGTCGAACGAACCGAATCAGTCTCCACCTCCGTATATAAAAACTGCAGCTCAGCCCATTCATTGCCATGGCTATTGCAGAAAAATTCGACCGACAAACCCTCCCTTGCCCTTTCTTCTCCATTCCAAAAATTTTCTGAATCTCTCCAGCAATTGAAATTCTCCATTACTGAATTTTCAGTTTGCGATTGCTCGGACGAACGGTTATGGCGACGGGAACGGAGAGATCTAAGACGCTTCGGAATTTCACGACGCCGGTGGATCGCCGGTGGGGAATCCGGCGGTTATATTGCTCCATGAAGAACGATTCAGATGATCGAATCTCGCCTATTCGCCGCTCCGCCGATAGTTCGTGTTTTTCAGATCACAGCCACGGCGGCGCCGCCGGCGGAGAGACCGATTTTACGCAACCGCTTCGAATCGGAAAAGATAAAGGAAGAAAGAGAAAAGAAAGAGATTCGTCTTCGGAGTCTTCATATAGATCTCCAAAAATTAGCGCAAAGTCGCCGGCGCCGCCGCCGGCGACGACGACGACGACGCTTGTTCGCCGGAGATTCAATTACGACGGCGGAATCTCCGCGACAAGAGAGAAGCTGTTGCTTGAATTCCAAACCACGGTGGATGAAATACTGAAAAACTCTATTTACAAAAAAGAAGAGATTCCTCCGCCGCCGCAGCCGCCGACGTCGCCGCCTGTTGCCGCCTCCGTCGACGGCGGCGATGCATACAGGCCGTGGAACCTGAGGATAAGGCGAGCTGTTTGTAAAATTCCAGAAAAGAGCAGCGGCGGCGGCGGCGGCGGTGCTGCTGCGACGGCCGGCGGCGAGAAAAGGGGAAAAGCTAGGGCTACGGCAAGGGTAAAACTGTCAATTCCTCTATCAAAAACTGAAATCGAAGAAGATATCTGGAAATTAACAGGGCAGAAACCGTCGCGACGGCCAAAAAAGAGGGCTAAGAATGTTCAGAAACAATTGAATGTAAGCAAATTAACGGATCGAATCGTCTTCAAAATTCAATTTCTTAATTAAATTCATCTTCTAGCCCTCCATTGTTGTAATCATTCTTGGGATTTCTTGCAGGCATTATTTCCAGGATTGTTGCTGACTGAAGTTACTCCTGATATGTATCAAGTTAACGAAGATGCTCTCTAACATCCATTTTAGGTAAATTGGCCTATGAAAGGTTTTCGAATTTGGCTAGAAATTTTATGGTTTATATTTTTTATTTTTTTTTTATTTTTAGTTTGTATCATATACTATACTCTATTTTGGAATTTTATAAAGGGGGTTTGTTGCCTTTCGAAATAGTTTCTTACGGTTTGACGAATGATTGGTCGATAAATCGAATAGATTTTCCAGCTTTCTAAAAAAAATAATAATAATAAATAAATAAAAATTAGTCTATCGATTAAATTTATTTTGTTATTTGTTTGGATAAAGTTAATAAATTAATTTTTAATTAATGTATTTTTATATTTGAATGGATGTACATTTACTGAAATAAAAACAAATGGAGTATTATTTTTCATTCAATATATATTATCACAAATTTATTACTTTAACTATATATATTTTTAAATTTTTAATTAAATTTTAGAAAATATTTCAACTTATTTTTATTTTTAGTACTTTTCAATAAAAATACTTATTTGATTTAGTATTTACGGAATTTAAAGTATATTAATATTTTATTGATGTATTAGTAAATATATGGTAAGTTTGACTAAAATAACTTTATTAATATTGTGTAATATAAAAATAATGACATTAGTTTAATATATGGTAAGTTGTAAGGATATTTGTAATTTTTTGCAAATACTAAAAAAATGAACAAAGAAAATATTTAATTTATGTGTTAGTGTTTTTGTTTGGAAGATTGGAATTTAAATTCACTATTCAATTTTATTTTTTCCTCTCAAAAGAATCAAATCAAACATCTATTTTTTATTTTTTATATTATATTCAAAATAAATTTTACATTCAAAACATCGCACATCAACACTTATTTATATCACATCATACAACTGTTTAAATTCAAAATTTTTAATATTCAAATCTCAACTCAAAATCCAAACTTTCCAACAAACACACATTGTTAGGTATATTAAAATTGAAGAATAACCGTTTTTTTTGTTGTGTTTGTTAGGGTTTCAATTTTATTTTGAGATTTTAATAGTTAAAGATAATATTAAAAATAAAAAATAAATATTTAATAAATTAAAAAAAAATTGATAAAGAATACAATTTAATAAAAGAGCACACTAAAGTCATGACATTGTGGCTGTCTGCCACGTGTCTTCTAGCTTTTATCCGGTCAACGAGTTCTTTCAATTTTGACTTAATGTAATCTGGGCCGGTATTGGATTCGGCCTTCTTCATCCTCCATTTGGGCTGACGTTTGCACTTGTGGCCCAAACAGATCGCCCGCTCATTCTCTCTCAATGGGCCGAATGTTGATTTTGCCCAAAAACGATGGGTTTTTTTTTTTGGTGGAGGGGGGTGGTTTGAAGAGAATTTTTTTTTAAAAAAAAAATAATAAAAATGTTTAAATAATCAATATTTATAATATATTAATATTTTTAGAAATATATATTGGTATTTTTTTTAGAAAAAGAAAACACCAATGTTTTTGGATATTTGATAATTAACCGTTAAAATTTATTGAGATACTTTTAGATATTTAATTTTAATATATTTAAATTTGTATTTACTCTTAATTATTTAGATTTGAGTTTATTTTAATTTACGGTGTCTACGTATAGATTTTTAATTTAATTTTGATAATTAATATAATACAATTTTATAATTTACATAATATAATTTTACAAAATTAACTGGATGTATTAAATATTTGTGCTATAATTAATATAATACAATTTTATAATTTACATAATATAATTTTACAAAATTAACTGGATGTATTAAATATTTGTGCTAGAAGGTTTGGTAAAACAATAAAAGACACTGTGTGTTTGTTTGGAAGTTTGGATTTCGAATTGGAATTTAAATACTCCCTCCGTCACATTGAAATGTTACTATTTTTTATTTACGTTCGTCCCAAAATAAAGTTACAATTTTCTAATTTAGTAATTGTACTATTCTACTTAACATAATAATTACCTTTCAACTTACAAGATATTACACAAATGTCATTACTTTTATATTACACCCTACTAATAGGGGTATTTTTGTCCTTTTTACTACAATCCAATATAATACTAATATTCAAAAATCTACATGTAAAAAACAAATGTCACCCTTCCAATGGGACGGAGGGAGTAATAAAAATTTTAAATTAATAAGAATTGATGTGATGTTTTGAATGTAAAATTGATTTTTTCAAATAATATAAAAAATAAAAAATAGTTTAATTTGATATTTTTGAATAAAAATTTTGGATAAATAATAATTTTTTTTTTGCAAAATCCCTCCAACAAACACACCCACCGGTATAGTTTATTTTAAAATATTTAATTATTTCCCTTTGGTGTATTATTGAGATTTTCTATTATGGATTGTGAATTATGAAAGTATTATTAAAGTAATTATTTTGTTATATTGTTTAATTGTAGTTTGAAATATGATTTATATTTTTATTTAAAAAATATTTTAATATAATACTCTATTTGTTATAATACAATGGTCATATTTACTATTTTTATTCATTTTAAAACAATAGTCTTATTTTCATAAATAATTATATCACCATAAAACTATCGCTATGTTTTTATTTTTATTATACAATTACCACTACTTTTTACACTAATACACTCACAAGGGCAAAAAAATCTTTTATCCATACTTTTTACCTACTACCAATATAATATCAATATTCCTTAATACTGTGTACAACTCAATTAAGACTATATTTATGAAACGGATGAAGTATTTTATAATAAATAATATATTTTTATTAAAAAGAGAAGAATATTGATTTCTATTTGTAATTACAATCAAACAAATTTATGTGAAAAAAGTAGCATTTTATTAAAAAATATAATAATTTTTGTATTAATATATTATAAAAAAAAATGAAAAATAAATCCTAGTATATTTATTATGCCAAATATTGTGTAATTTATTATTTTACTATACTTACTTTTTAATAAATTTATTTTATTTTTATTTATTTTTAATATGAAATATATATTTTACCTGTCTTTTAATAAATTAATATATAATTTAAAAATAAAACTAAATGTAAAAATTTAATATTTCAATAAATTTAAATTTGTAAAATTAGAATCATAACTTAGCTAAAATAAAAACATGTTAAAATAATTATCAAATAATAAAAAATATATATTAATATATGTGTGATATGGATTACTATGTTGAAGGGCAAAATTAAAGTAAGGGAAAAAATCAATTCTGTCCGCAACGGTGCGGATTAATCAGGTCCTCGTGCTCCATGGACCTGCATAAAAAAATCCCCAAAAAATCTGCTTTCACTCTTCGAGAAACCCTGTAAGAAGGTAGCTCCCACATCGAAACTCCCAACTCCAATTTTCTGACCAATCTCATCCTCACTGGCATTAATTATCTTCTTCATTTTCTCCAATGGTGGTTCTCTCCAAGTTCTCCACCGCCCCGGCGTTATTTCCCGGCGGCGGCGGCGTTCCTGTCCCGCTGATCGACCTGTCGGAGCCGGACTTCCGGGAGCAGCTGGTCCAGGCCTGCGAAGAATTCGGGTTCTTCAAAGTCATCAACCATGGCGTCCCAACTGAGGCTATCGCGGCCCGCGAATCCCAGGCCCTCGAATTCTTCTCCCTCCCAATCGCCGATAAGGAGAAAACCGGGCCCTTCGTCTACGGCAAGAACAAAATCGGCCCCAATGGCGACGTCGGCTGGGTCGAGTACTTGCTCTTCACCTCCGACTCCCACGCCGACATCCACCGCCGCTTCTCCGCCGTCTTCGGCGAAGCCGCCCATGAATTCCGGTCAGTTCAGAGTTCAATACCCACGCACAAACACATACACATGTCTCGACGTGAAAATTGATTACGGCCGTGTTTAGACACAGGCAGGAAACATGGCCTTAATCAATTTCCACGGCTGTGTTAAATGTCACTCGGCCTTGTACAGTGACTGCGGATGCTGACTTGGATGTTCACGGGCATGTTTTAAGGTATTCGGCCGTGTTCATTCCAGGTTACCTGCCAACTCGACTCCGTTAAGTTAACGTCAGCATTTTCTGTTGGTTAATTGACGGTGTGGATAAAAAAGATAAAGTTTGATTATATTGAGACAAAAAATAATGAGTTTTGATTATATTGGGAGTAAAATTGATAAAAATATTATATTATGACCAAAAATGAAGAATTTTGGTTATATTGTGACCAAAATTGATAAAATTTTTATATTGAAACCAAAATTGATAAATTTTAGTTATATTGAAACAATTTTCTCCTTAAAGTAAAATATTATTGCTAAACGTTGGGTAAGTTAATTTTTTAAAATTAATTTTTTGGGTTAAAAAATCTCATAAAAAAAAATTTATTATTTACTAAACATTAAAATTAGTTATTGGATTGATCAACAAACTAAAATCTACATAAAATTTTTATAAGCCCTAAAACCTTAAATTTATGGATTTAATACATAAATTAAAAGAAAAATTATATTAAAAAAAAAATCCATGTGTATATATCCTACGTATCTGACCGGGTGGATACCTGTTTTCCTGGAGTAATACGGGTTTCACGCAGTTTTTTTCGGCATCACACTAAAAGGTACTAAAAAATCAGTTTAGTCATTGCTAACATAAAAATAGATGAACTACAACATAAAATAAAATATTATGAAAATTTTATAAAACAATTAATAAAAAAAGTTGTTAGATAAATATAATAGGTATAATGTATTATTTCACTTTCGTCCGGTTTTAAAGATTTTATTTATTTTTTGCATGTTGGTCTTGAATATTAATCATTATATGAAAATATAGTCTAAATCAAGACAAAATGACAAAAATAATTTTGTCTTTTAATACTATTATAATGACATTTGTGAAAAAAATTATACAAATATAAAAATATTTTTAATATTAAGTACAATAACATAAAAATAAATGAGACCTTAGCAGGACAGAGGGTACTCCCTCCTTCCCGAATATTATGTCCACTTTCCTTGTATAAATGAAATTTTAAGAGAAATATAATTAATAAATAATTAAAAATTTATTAGTAAAAATAATAATTGTATAATAAAATAATTATAAATTAAAATTAAAATAATTAATTAGTCTAATTAAAATTTTAAAAAAAATTATAAATTTAAAAATTACAAATAAGATTAAATTATATAATTTATCTACAAAAAATATAGTCGACGAACGGAAATTAAAAGATAAACATAGCAATGATGAATATTAAACTTTTGACTTTTGTGTTGGTCAAACAGTTATAAACCAATGTACATTCGCACGTGCGAGGAAATGTAATAAACACAAGTAAAATTAGTATAATAGAAGTGTGCCTTCTTCATAGCTTAATGCTGCCGCTAAAATTAGGGTTTTGCTTGTGAAAATTTCCGGGTGGATTAAAAACCCTCCGATCTACATAAAGATTAGATTTTCTCGTCTTAATTCGTACAGAGATGGCGAAGGCGAGGCCGGAATTTCAAGTATACAACAGTTTGACGAAGCAGAAAGAGATTTTCAGGCCCTTAGTTGAGGGAAAAGTTGGAATGTACGTTTGCGGCGTAACCTCTTACGACCTCAGCCACATCGGCCATGCTCGTGCCTATGTCGCGTTTGATGTTCTTTACAGGTTTGCAATTTGAATTATTTGCTTCAATTTCACGCTTTTGACTGTATGGGAATAGAGCTGGATTCGTGTATATGCATCTTATTTGTAATTACTGCTGTGTTTGAATTAAATTGGTGTGTATAAGGATGAATTATGCTGTTTTTTAACGCATAGCATTGAATTGGGAGCGTGTGTATAAAATTTAGTTCTTTTAGGTGAATTTGGAATCGTAAATTGCAGAATGGGTGTTTAATTCGTGATTTTTTTTTATGGTTATTTTAATGGTAATAGTGTGGTTATGGGGGAAAATTTCATTGCATTTGTCTTCGACAGTGTAAATTGAGATAGAAAGTTATTTGTGATCAAAACTTGGATGTGTTCGTAATGGTAAACATCTCAAGGCATGTCTTTTTATTTCGTAATTACTAATTATGCGGTCTATGTTGTGTTGTGATTCACAACTACTATGATATTCAAAATCTTATAAATAATTTTCTTCTTCATTTTTGCCGTATCTTTATACACTTTTATAAATATTCTTCTTTCTTCTTTGTCTTCTTCTTTGTTTTGTTCATTTATTCAATTGTATGTTTGTCACATTGCATAATATCCTTTTCCCTTTTAGAGTTAGAAATAGTTATAGTATACTATGATATAATAATGTAAAATATATATTTACCAAATAACAAATATAATATTATATTGTAAGATATAAACCTGCTTATAATAAAGATTCCGTTATGCTCCCCTTTGCTAAAAGCTATTGCGTAAAAGCGCCACCGCTGTTAGCGCGCTATTAGCAACTATGGTTGTGGTGTGGCATCAAGAAACCATGTTAGAAGAAGCTTGTTTCTGGAATTCATCTAAGAATTAAGGATCGTGGTAATTTGATTTGCACGGCATGGTTGATATGTGTCATTTATGCCTTTTGTCCTAAGCTTCTGAATTGAAAGTAAAAGGCTTAGTTGTGAGAGCTGTAGCAGAGCGAGATAAGAAGAAGACTGCGATCTTCATCTAATAAATATTTTCTGAAATTCAATGATTGTAGGTATCTGAAATATTTGGGCTATGAGGTGGCTTATGTGCGCAATTTCACTGATGTCGATGACAAGGTGAGTTATCCTTAGGGTGATGCTTTTACTGATTCATTGAAGAGTTTAAATTTTTCAGCAGGAAAGTCTAGCATTCGCATTGGTTTGTATCTTGACATTGTAGATCAATGAGTAACAATTCTTTCATGACTGATTTTGCTGAAACTTTTTATGCATTTTATAATGAAAGAGTATGCTTGTTTTTTTTTTCGTGCTTGCATTTGATTCGTTTAAGTTAAAATTCGGGTTCTGGTTTTTGAGAGATGAGTTCCGATCATTATTATTTTACTTGTCATGTAGTAGGAAAATTACTGATATGTGAACTAAAGGTCAATTATTATTTACTATATCAGGTTTCCATTTTGGAATGTCATAGTTATTTTAATAGTTATGTAAATCCGTTACATCGAATTAACCAGTGATATAATCATCCCAGTACCGCTTGTAAGATTCCGGATAAGATGCTCTGGAATAAAGAATTTTAATTTTCCGCTACTTCTGACACTGTCATTTACCAAATTTATTATCAATTAATGATGATCTGAATCTGATGGTAAATTAATTAAACTGAATTTTGGATCTAAAGTATTGAAATATTCAGATTATTCGTAGAGCAAACGAACTTGGAGAAGATCCAGTAGAACTAAGTGGGCGGTTCTGCCAAGAGTTCCTTAAGGACATGGCCGATCTCCATTGCCTTCTTCCGACTCACCAGCCTCGTGTTACTGAGCATATGGATCAGATTAAGGACATGATTGCTCAGGTTATTTACTTTCTTTGTTTTCCTATTCTTTAAATTCTAATGATCAATGATTCGATTTCGATATATATATTGGGAATATTCTTTATTTTGTCGTGCTCTTTGTATATTCAATCATGACATTAATTGATGTGGAAATTGTTTAATGTGTAAGTTTAATATGATGTGTTAAAGTAACGATAACACATTTTCATTTATTTTTCTTGTACATTTGTAATCTAGATATTTGTATACCAAGACCTCTTTATTCATATTTGATGTTTTCTTCTTATAAAATTTTCATTGTGATCGTTATGGTAGTGGTTATGTTTGTAATTTGTATATAATCCTTTTGATAACTTTGAAGCTCTTTAATTTTACTTTTGGCACAAACTTTCATCACCGTTTTAACCCTACTTATTCTCATTCAAATTTACAGATCATTGACAATGGCTGTGCTTATGCTGTCGATGGAGATGTTTACTTTTCTGTAGATAAATTCCCACATTACGGTCTTCTATCCGGAAGGAAGCTAGAAGATAACAGAGCGGGGGAACGAGTTGCTGTTGATGAGAGAAAGCGAAATCCTGCTGATTTTGCCCTGTGGAAGGTAAAAAAGGCTATAATACGACAATCTGATTGTTCTATGCCTCGATAAAATTCTCATAAATACCTTTTGCAGGCTGCAAAGCCGGGCGAGCCATCATGGGGTAGCCCCTGGGGTCCGGGAAGACCCGGGTGGCATATAGAATGCAGTGCCATGAGCGCGCACTACCTGACTCATACTTTCGACATTCACGGCGGCGGGATGGATCTGATATTTCCTCATCATGAAAATGAGCTTGCTCAGAGCTGTGCCGCGTGCGCAGATAGTAAAGTGAATTACTGGATACATAATGGCTTTGTTACGGCCAATGATGAAAAAATGTCCAAGTCTCTGGGAAACTTTTTCACCATTCGTGAGGTAAAAAGATGGGAACTGTATCCTTGATAAGTAATAATCATTTTGCTTTCGTTCTGTGATCGTTGCTGTTTAATATATTATTTTTTTCTGTAGGTTACGAAGCTATACCATCCACTTGCGTTGAGACATTTCCTGCTCGGAACTCACTACCGCTCTCCAGTCAATTATTCGATATCGCAGATTGAGATTTCCTCGGAAGCTGTGTTTTATATATATCAGGTCCAAAACACTCCTTTTGTTGATTAAAAATAGTCGGGGTTGAGATTTATTTAGATGTGTATTTAGATGCCGATTTATTTTATACGCTTGTGTTTGGATGCGTAGGATTGAAATAGTAAAAGTTTAAATTTGATAAGTGTTTGATGTGATATTTTGAATAAAAAATAAGTGTTCGATTTAATTTTTTTTATAGAAAAAAAACAGATGAATAGTGAGGTTGAGAAGCCAACCCCAATGAACATATTTATTATCAGTTTTCAATTATTGGCAGACTTTGAAAGACTGCGAGGATGCATTATTGACGCTGAAAGATGAAATTGGAACGAACGGAAAAACTGTTCGGGTGAGCCCTGCTGCTCAACAGAACATCACTAAGCTACACGACGAATTCGAGATGAAATTAGCGGATGATTTGCATACCCCAACGATCTTAAATGCTGCGCTTCAAGAAGCTTTGAGATTTATCAACAGCTCCATAACTATGCTCAAGGCAAGCTCACTAATCAAAACTCTCTGGCTTTGTTTTTTTTTTCAAATTATATTTTCATGTGATATTTTTATAAGAAATCGTGATGGTAGCATAGTAAAGAATTTTGAAAAAAAAGGAGGAAAGTAAATAGACCCTTTGAGTGTGTTCACTCAGCATTTAGATTTAGTTGCGTTATTTGTTAGATATGGAAAAACGGTCAGTAATATAAAAAATGATATTTTAGGTTGAATTTTTCTATATTTGACTTTTGGAAGCGTATATGTTTATTATTTTGTAATATTAATCAAAAATCGTATAAATTTTTTTTTATGTTGAGTGAACACACCTGTTTTCTCTCTCTCCGTAAAATGTTCGAACTTCTTAGATATATGTTTTCCTTACTTTCAGAAGAAGCTGCAGAAGCAACAGCAATTAGTTATCATTAAATCACTCGTCGATATAGAGAAACAAGTCAAAGAAGTGCTGGATGTTCTCGGATTGCTTTCCCATTCAACTTACGCCGAGGTAAAAACTTCACTCTACTTTTTCCATCCGCATCAATCCTTTTCTTCGACAAATTTCGTAATTTACACCCCAATCATATATAGGTTTTGCAACAGCTGAAAGACAGAGCCTTGAAAAGGGCAGGTCTAACCGAAGAAGATATTCTCCATTCCATCGACGAACGAACTCTAGCCAGGAAAAACAAGGAGTTCGGAAAAAGTGATCAGATCAGAGCCGACCTTGCGACCAAAGGAGTTGCTTTAATGGACATTGGCAACGATACCATTTGGAGGCCGTGCGTACCGGCGCAACAAGAACAGCCCGATGCACCAATGCAGCAGAAGAACAACGGCGAACAAGTAAAGGCTAGCTGACGGATGAGCGGAAACACAATTAATCACTGTAAGTGAACTTCAACTTATTGTTTATCAGCCCTTAAATTTTTAACAGTGATAATTTTAACATGTCGACTAATTCTTCCTTGGGATAGAAAATGATAAATGGTGTGGATAATTTTTATTTTTATTTGTTTATATGACAATGTGGATAAATATTTTCTATTACTTCTAAAGGATCTTGTTGTAGGAAATTTTGTCACCCTTCTTATATATGCAAAGGCGTCGAGGGATTTTGATCCATGGGCTCAGGGTCACGAGTTAAACCTAAAACTCATTTCCATCTTTCAAAATATTTATATCTATGTGTTATATACATTTACATAAATGTTTTACGTATGCAATCTTTTATGGTTTGTGATGTTTAACGTTGTGATGATAGCAATCTGTTGTGTATTGACTCTTGTCGATGAATTATGATTAGGGGTGGGAAAAGAATCGAATTGAGCTGTCGAACCGTTGAATCGAACTGAACTGAACCGAATTTTCGGTTAATCGAGCAAATTCGGTTCGAATACAAATACTGCATATTTGATATTTGTTCGGTTCGGTTTCGGTTTTTGATATTTTTTTAAAATTTATATTATTATATTTTAAAATTTATATTAATAATTATATTAGGTTCGGTTTCGGTTCGGATATTTGAAAATTTTGTAAATATTTTGATTTAATTAAAATTTTAATTATTTTTTAATTTCGGTTCGGTTCGAATTATTTGCAAATATTACAAATATTTTCGGTTCTAAATATGGTTCACGATTTCGAGTATTTGTTCGGTTCGATTTGGATATCAAATATCAGTATATTTACAAATATCCGAAGCCCACCCCTAATTATGACTACTCTAACGTTGACATTTTCAATTTACATGGGTTTTTGATGAAGTCGGATGATCCTGTCGGAGCTTGGGCTGACTTGTTTGTTTCTCATAGTATCAATTATTTAAAATTTCTATTCTCACTTTGATGTAAAATGTGTGGTTTGATGTATTGTGACTTATCTGACTTGGTTTTCAAGTGCAAAAATTCCATGTAAAATGTGTGGTTTGTTCACTTATTAATATTTGTTGCTTACTACTTTAAAGTTAGGACCGATAATCGAATTAGGTTTAGATTCGGATCAACTATAAATGAGTTAGAAAACTTTCATCTGAACTTGATCCATTTAATTAAATGTATTGATATTTGCAACTTTAATTCGACTTTTTATTAATAAGATCAACTTGAATCTGACCACCTGTATCATCTGTTTAAGTCTAAAATTTTTAAATTTTAATTTAAAATTACAATTTTTACTAACAAAAATTTCAAATGCAATTATATATACATATTAAAGTAAAAATTATTTATTCATATCATTAAACTCGATATTCAATAGTCAAATTAACAAACACGTAATAATAATACACAACACAATCTTTTGTTTAATTCTAATTTTGTAGAATTTTAGTTTAAATTTTTTTATTTTATTTTTATAAAATTGGTCTGAATATTTGAATTGAATTAGTAAAATTTTAAAAATATATTTAAATTTAAAATAATATTAATTAAACATGTTAAACGACGAGTTTGACCTAATTATTAATTAGATCAAAAATTTCAATCCAAATCCAATTATTTTGAGTCGGGTTTAAGTCGGATTATCAGGCGGATCAATTTTTGCCAGCTATATTCACAATGTAATGAGTTAGAAGCCAAAATTATAGTAGTAGTGAGAGGGTTTTGTGTGCTTGGATGATTATGCTCATTTATATTAACCCAAATATGAAATTATTTATATTTGCAAACTTAAGATCTACTTGCAACACATAAAAAAATGAGTTCTATGGTAATTCTTACTTTTGCACAATCTATATAGATCGAATTCATTTAGGGTGAGATAATATTTTTCACTTTTTTTATTTTTATTTTTTTGTAATGTAAAGCCACTTAAAACTAATGTGAATTATATTATTCATTGCTCTTAACGTAAAATTTGTCCTCTCTATTGTAAGATAAAACACTCAAAACAAAATTTCAGCCCTACACACAAAATGATAAAAAATTTCATTAACATTTTTAATTAATTATGACATAACATCCATAAATGCAAAATTATAAGAGCTCCCATTTAGCATAGGCTAAGTTTCAAAACCTGTCTTGTTTGTCGAGTCTGTCACAAGACTTCTTAATATGGCTTATCCAATTGACAATCAAAGAATAGCAACCATAAATTTTATATTATATATATATATATATAAAATAAAATAAATAATGTCATAACTTCCTTTTATGTAAACAAGGCCCGAATTTGAAACACATCCAAACAAATTATATTAAAAACCCGAATTTAGTTTTAAGATGCTAATAAAATATAATTTTATGCAAAACACAAGTTTTGTTAATATAATACACATAAATCACATGAACACGGATAGCACATTGACAATTGTCCGCACAACATATATTCTCTCCGTTCGAATCCTATGTAACCATTTTGCGTTTTTTGTCTATCCAACTCAAGTGTATCAATTTCTATCTTTTTTTTTTTTTAGTAAAAGTCTTTTTACTTTATAAAAAAATATCTCTACACTTTATACAATATTACAAATAATAAGACTAAAAAGTACATGAGTTTAAAGGAAAATTGTATTTTTTATTTTTTTAAAAATCTTTCTATACTTATAAAATAGTAAAAGACCTAAATCCACGTGCAAAAAGTCAAATAAGTTTTAAAAAAAATTGTATTTTTTTTTAATCTTTCTATACTCAGAACTAAAGGAATATTATTTGACTTCAGCATATATATATATATATATATATATAGAATTATCAACAAGTGGTTTCAACTAATAATTGAAACAATGTGTTAGTTCACTAGGAAAATCAACACCACATTAAACAGTTACATGAAATACTACTCCATCCGTCCACGAACTAATATCCTACTTTGGACTTCCAACAACTATTGTCCTATTTTCTTTTTTAACACAAATTTTTACATTTTTACCCTTTATTCATTTATTATTTTTAATATCTACCATACACTTAAAGGACAAATTTAGTCATTCATAACGGAAAGACAATCGTCTAAAAAACCGTGCAAATATATTTTAGGACAATAGAAATTAGACGGAGGAAGTATTTCATTTCAAACATTATTTTGACTCAAATTTTCACAATTACCGGACAAAATCAAAATCCAAACTTTCAGATTTGAAAGAAAAAAAAGAGGTGTGCCAAATGCAAAATCACATCTGAATAAATACAATCAAATCAAATAACTTTTTACAACAGAATCAAATATGTGTATCTGTTTGATTTCATCTGTATTTTCTATAAGCTACCTCAGAAATATTGAGCTCCTCCCCAAACACATATCATCTCTCTAACTGCACAAAACCATTCAACATTCAATCCTACACATCAACGAACCTAAGCACAATAAATTTTTTTTAAAGAAGAAAAAAAAAAAAGGCCTCAGATACCCAAGAGCAAGCAAGAAGCAATGTATGAACAGCAAAAGCATACTACCACACTGAAAAAACACGAAGGCTGCGTATGCACGCAAGAATCAACATGGAATCAAACCTCAACAAATATTTAATGTAACAATTTTAATACCTTTTCACTTTTTCTCAAAGGCTTTCAGGTTAAGGCCAAACCATCTCTTCTTCGACGATTTATCCTTTGAATCTGAGCCACCTTCTTCCTCTCCCGGACTTTCACCTGCTTTGTAACCTTCACCCAGGGTTTTGCTACTGCTGCCACTAGTACCATTGCTGAAATGTGCGCTCCCACTTGAAATCATCGACCTTGTAACTGTGAAGGAAGAATGGATGTTGTCCCGCTCGTTTAGCAGCTCATCAACCTGTTCAAGCATAGAAGTAGTGCTGAAAATTAAAAGAAATCAACAAAATGGCAGGATGCAAATAAGCCATGAAGTTAACTCGATAAAATGAGCAACTGTTACTCCCTCCGTCCCGGATATTATGTCCACTTTACCGTAGACACGGAAATTTAGAAGGGGTATAATTAGTAAATAATTAAAAATATATTAGTAAAAATAATTGTATAATAAAAATAAATATAGATTAAAATTAACATAACTAATTAGTCTAATTAAAATTAAAAAAATTATAAATTAAAAAATTTAAAATAAAATTAAGTGTATAATTCTTTTCCAAAAAAGAAAAATGACAAAACAAATAGGACGGACAGAAATGGAAAGGTGGATATAATAAGTGGGACGAAGGGAGTATCAAAATTGAATTCGGGGGTTTGAAGGTATTTTCCCGTTAGAGACTTACGAGACTAGGTTCTTCATTTTATGACATAGCTTAACGGAAGATCTTCAATTACATTAAGTGTTCTTTTCTGAGTTTTACAACAGATCTTGACTATTACATTCTTTTTTCCTTTCAAAAATATCAAATCAAATAATCACTTTTTTATTTTTGTATGATACTATAAATCTATTTTACATTAAAAACATGACATAACAACTATTTATATCACATTAAACAACTATTCAAATTCAACTTTTTACTATTCAAAAATCCAAACACGAAAATCCAAACCGACAAACAAACACACCCTAATAAGACACTATGTGTGAGACTTATGATCACGACAGATCTTGCAGAGCAAACTTACAGACTGTTTTTCTTGTGTGTATCTATTTGTCACTTCTTGGAATCGTGCCAATGCCTGAAAATCATGGAAGAAGGGGAAATGCATAGTTAGAACATTATCAACCACTCATATACAAAACCTAAAACAAACAGGCCGAGTGAAGATTACCTTTCTATACTCTGTCTCAAACTGGCGTAGCTCGTTTCGCTTCCTCAAAATCTTAGTTTCAATATCCTTAAGCTTCTCAGTAGTATCCTCATATGTTTTTGCACAGAGAGCCTCAATGGAATAGGAGGCAGGTTTGAAGAAGTTATCACCTGAAGAAAGCACAATAAAACCTCAGCCCGGAAGGAATTAAGAGATACTGCAAACGTAGCTAAAACTATATTGAAAAAAAGTGATTTGCACAAGAAATTCAAACCATAAACAGCAAATATGTGAGTGCCAGCTTTTAGTTCAGCCACTTCGCAAGGTTGAAGCCCTTCCAGTCTTTTGAAGAAAGCTGCTTCTGGATCCTTTGCCATTGCCAACTACACGTTTAAGTTAGAACATTTAAGAGCAAAAAGAAATGCATAAGCCATAAACCATAGAATTTGACATCTATCGAAATATTACACACCGCATTCACAGTTGAATCCATTCTGTACACTTGAAAATGCAAGAAGTACATTCCAGCAGACGTGACCTTCCCTGTCTTCTCACTTTCTTCCTATACATTTTTGGCAGCAGAATATGTACCCAAAATGAGGCAAATTTCAAATATAGAATTCATTCACTACCAATTGTGGGTGAAGAAATTATACGTAAAAAGTGGACTAAACATTTTGAAAATGCTACGACAATATAAGTTAAACATCCTAATAGGATAACATTTACTTAATTATGTCCAAACTATACAGACTTGACTGAAAATGGGACCAAAACCCATCATCGCAGTGTGTGTAAATGGTCCATGTTCAATTCATTTTGTCACTACAATTACCTAATATAATTCGAGATTAATGATTCAAAATTTCATACATTATATACTGTTACGGGATAGCAGATAGCGGAATGACCGTTGTTCAAAAATTTAAGAATATAAATATAAAAATTATTATATATACAAATTTATAATAAAAAATGCATATGAAAAACATGTAGATTAATCTTATATTTTCATTCAAACCAATAAATTACAAAAAAAAAAGTATGTAATTATCATAATTCATAAATAGGTATATAAGTAAAAACAATTAGCTCACACTACTTTGATAAATAATTGAAGTTAATCGGTTTCAAAATCTAATAAATAATTTTCTTCCTCGACTATCAAATGAATATTCTTTCTCTTCTTCATCTTCTTATTCATTTTCATTCATTTATTCATAGTATGTTCATCACATTGCACAATATTTTTTGTCCTTTTTAGATCTATAAGTAATTATTATATATTATAAAATCATAGAATAAAATCTACATTTACCATATAAAAATATATAATAGTATATTGTAAAACCTAAATTTTACTTATAATAAAGATTATAAAAGCTGCTACACCACAATTTCATAAAAGCGGCATCGCAGAACAGTGGTATTGGCTTACTGTTGCTCTGTCCGCTACACCGCTATTTGTGCGCTATTTACAACTATATCAGAACTTACAGATAAAGCAAGAGAACAGAAAACCCTAACAGAAATGTGCTGGTATAGTGGTGTAGCCACTCAAATTTTCACAAGTCCAACAGGCAGATAGAAAACACAAGGATGCTGGCAAAAGTTGAGTGCATACAAGACACAAGGCAGCAGGCCAGGGATGCAGTGAACAAGAGAAAGAGCAGTCCAACAGGCAAAAAATCCACAAAATTCAGGCCAAGAAACAGACACCCTCTTTTTCATTTTTTTTTTTTTTTTTTTTTTGAGGGTTAGGACTAGGAAAAGGACCTATGTAAGTGTTCCACAGGATAGACGGAAGCAAGACGCGGGCTAATACCCAAAAGTTTGCAAAGTGGAAGCATCATAAAGATATAAAAAAAATGCTATTGGTATATGTGTATCTGTGAATCAACATGTGCGCTGCCACCGATACAATATTTCACCAATAAATTGCTGGACAAAAGCCAAGTTTTATAATCTATATACTACATCCATCCCATAAGAAGAGTATCATGTGTTTTCTGCGTATTGATCTTTAAATATTAATTATTATATCAATACGTAGTACCAATCAAGAAAAAATGACAAAACTACCTCTGTTAGTATCTTATAATACAAATATAATGACATTTGTGAAGTAAATTATACAAATATATGGATATTTTTAGTGTTAAATACAATGATAGCAAAAGACAAATGGTACTGGTTTTATGGGACGGGGATAGTATTATTTCTTGGTTATGAGCTGAGATAGATAGGTACTAGTGATAATAGATGAGATTATAAGAATTGTAATTTCATCTTAAAATACTTAAAAGACGTGGGTATAAAGGAATGAAAAGCATTAGATATACAATAACTGAACAAAAAATGGAGAAGTACCTGCAAGGCGAGGCCATATCCCCCGTTTGCATCTTGCTCAAAGTATAACAGCTGAAAATCACATGGCACAGAACCATTGGTTTAGAAATCATGCGTTAAGATTTATGTACGTCAAAATTGAAAAGTTAAGGTGCTATTTTTATAAATCTTATTTCCTCATTGTACTTGATGAATAAACAGCTGACTGAAATTAGACGGGAGTCTTTTCCAGATTAGCTTTGAAATTTAAAATAACCACTAATAGAAATTTAATACGGAAGCAAAGCTTGCAAATAGCGCAAAATTTCACCATTATAGACAGCACAGGGGGTTTTAAATTGAATTGCAGCTGGGTAACAGCAATAGATACCTTAAATTTGCTTTGCGCAGCAGATGAAACTCTAACAACTATTCCTGACTGAGCTTGTTCTTCATTGATGGTTACACCAAAAAAGTGGGCACACTGCTTCTCTACCTACTTGTTCGAATATTAACAGAAATATCGTCGTCGGAAAAAGAAAAAGAGAAAAGGTAATATTATCCGTTTTTAATCCTGCCAAGTGAGACGCAAACCTTTCCACTAACTGAAGATCCAAGTGGAAGGGGTCTGACTGTGACAGTTCCATTCAAAGCCTCTTCAAGAACATTTGCAGAAACTGTAGTCTTGATAGGCACACCCAATTTGCTGCACAATTAAATATAACTAAAAAACTAACAAGCTAAATACATGGAAAGACCGAATTATGAAGGGAAGTAAAACCTGAATAATGCTGCAAACATCGTGTTGACAGTGCCAAGATTTGACAAATCAATTTCCATATCCAGTCCTTCAGCATCAAGTGCCTTATAACCATTAACAACGAGGGTCAGGATAACAAACAAAGGGCACCAAATAATACGGTTAACAGCGAGCCGCAACGAGGGTAGATATAAACAATATTAAAGGCAACATACTTATAGAAGCTTCTTTCTTACATTAAGAGCCCCAACCCCCCACCCCCACCCCAAAAAATATACTATTCAAATCTATTAACTTTTCCTCCAAAAACATCACATCCAATGCCCATTTTCCAAACCAAACATCGCACTCAATAACTATTTTCACCTCAAAAGCATTAAAACAAAGAAACACACACACGCACAAGAAGACATCTTAAATCACCAACCAACAACATACCAAACTTCTAGAACATCTTTTTATTGTCCATATCATAATAGTTAACAACTAGGTGAATGTGTGTGCGTGCATAGAGTTTGACAAACAGATAAGATACAAAAGTACCTCAAATCCTGACTTATCATATTGCCTCCTCTTCTCTGGATCAGATAAAATGCTATATGAATATGCAACCTCTTTGAAAAGCTCTGAAGCTTCAGGATTGTTGGCATTCTTATCTGGATGGTACCTGCGAATTGATATTTTGTTTTCCTCAACCACCCAATATCAAATTTTCTGCTGTGAGTGTGTGCGCGCAATGCGGAACCGGCAATTTCTCCTCAAAAAGGAGTTGAAGTCTTATAACAGAGAAACATAAAGTGAAACCAATTCCTCATTCTTGGTAAGAAAAGCATCATGTTACCATACAATCGGAAATATAAAGGGCAAAAAAATTAAAAATCCTTCGATTTCCAGGAGCCAATTCATGCAAATATAAAAATACAAATTAAAAACCTCAATCCAGGCAACACAAAAATCTACGACAACAGAAATGATAAACATAGTAACCAGATTACTCAATTAGACTGTGGACCAAGCATGAATACATGAACACGTTGCATAGATTAAAAAACACATTAAGTCTACTCATAAAATGGTTACTAAAAATGTAACAAAATGAAAATTAAAAAACATAAAAAGAAGTAAATGTAAGATGCATACTTGAGAGCAAGCTTTCTATAGGCAGTCTTAATTTCTTGATCAGAAGCATCTCTAGACACAGAAAGCACCTCATATGGGTCTCTCCTCATCGCCGGCGCCGATGTCCCCTCCATTTTCGAAACCTCTATCCAAATTCAGCCTTGGAATTTCCTCGTCCAAATACTTTCCAAAAAACAATAATAACAAAACCTATCTTCCTTTTTCTTTCCCCCTTCCGAAATCTCCGAAACCAATTCCTCGTCCTTCAGCTATACGGACAACGTTCCGCCCAAATTAATCAATCCTCGACTATCACCGCACAAATGGTCCCCCTGTCTGCAAATCTGCGACCAAAAACGCAATACAATTTTTCATAATCGCCGCGATAAACGAGCTAGAAGGGGAGAAATTCAATACGTCGGATCCCTTGAGAAATCTCGTCGTAATCGATGCAATAGAATCCAAAAATAGGAATATGATTCAACAACACTGAGTAAAATAAAAATGAAATTAAAAGTCGGTCCGTTTCCTCTAAGATCCAAATTCAAAACGCCCAAAACAATTACAATAACATCAAGAATGAAAGAATCTAGGGTTTATGAGAAAATTGCTTACTGGGAGGGAGTTGGGCGGGGTGAAGGAGAAGGAGGAGAAGACGACGACGAGTGGCCGACCAATGACAGGCCTTCACAATTTTTTCTTTTTTCTCCCTTAATAAATAAATAAAATAAATAAATAAGGTTATGATGGGGAAATTTTGAAAATTTGAAAATTTTCTATAATAATAAAAAAGTTAAAGGTACTCTATTTGATTTGAAGGAGTATTATAATAGAACAAATCTATTTAATGTATATTGTTTTTTTAAAGAATTAATTTAATAAATACTTTTTTTTTCTTTTTTTTTTTTTTATCTATTTTCTATTAAAGTGTATAATATTTTACTGGTCAATATTATTTTATTTATAATTTTTTTTAAATAAGTATTTTTATTTATATTTAGAGTTATTATTTTTTATAGAGTTAATTTATATTAATGATAAATTAAAATTTAAATATATTATATAAAAATTTTATATTTTATGTAAAAGAATATTTATATTATATATATTTTATTAATATATAATATTTAAAATATTTAAATTTTCATTTTAAAAATAACAACATTGTAATAAAATAATATTTTAATCAGCTACCATTACTTTCTAAACTCTAATTATTTAAGTTTCATATCACCAACCAAACGATCTTAATTGAATTTTGAGTTGGAATTTAAATAGTAAAAATTTTGAATTTGAATAGTTGTATGATGTGATATAAATAGGTAACGATGTGATATTTTGAATATAAAATTAATTTCTAGTATAATATAAAAGATAAAAATAAGTATCTGATTTAATATTTTTGGAGAAAAATAAATTGATAAAAAGTGGAAATCCAATCCAATCCCCCAAACGTTTAGCAATAAAAAAAAATAGTTTGACATAATTTTAGGGAATGAAGGAAATAATATCAAAAAAAATTAAAAATAATTATATAAATAAAATCTAAATAAATTGCAATATAAATGGAATATTAATTTTTCCCATTGTTTGAAGATAATTTATAATTAATACATTATGAAAGTGTATTTGTTTTGTATTTTTTTTTTTATACGTGTGTTTTTTATATTAGGTACAATATATCTTCATAATATAAATATAATATTTTGTATTAAATTATTAAATTTTTATTAATTAATATAATATATATAATGTTTGTGCTTATATATATTATATTTTTTTCTTCGATAATATTCATTGAAGTGTAAAAACAATAATAATAATAATAATAATAATATAATAATTTTAAAAACAAAAGACAAAAAAAAAAGGGATTTAAAAAACAAAAGACAAAAAAAAAGGGCTTCTATTAGTTATTATTATTATTATTATTTTAACATTCAAAGACAGTCTTATTTTATTTTATTTTATTCTTTTTAAAAAAAACACACATAAAAGAATATATATTGTGCAATTTATATATCTTAGGGTGTGTTTTTTTTGGGAAATTTGAATTTGGGTTTGGTTTTTATTTATTTTGTTATTTCTTTTGTGTTTAGGTTTGAGGATTTGATGGATAATGAATAAAATAATATAAATATGTATTAAATTTAATTGATAAAATTTATATTGTATAATTTGATTATGAATTTATATTACATCCAGCATATATATTAAATTTTTTTATTTATTTGTATTATAAAAAATTTTATTATTTACAAAATGACATATATATTGTATATATTTTTTTTCCCTATAATTATAATAAATATTAAATTCTATTTAATTTTTTTGTTTTTTAAAAAATAGTAAAACCTGCTGTTGCCGGCCGGACTGGTGGACAACCGCAAATTTGGGGTTGAAGAGACGCAACCTTGTTTTTATGTATAAATAAGATTATTGTACTTAAATTAATAATATGTTATAATCTCTATAATTATAATACTCCCTCCATCTAAATATAATAGTCTTGTTTACTATTTTTATTCGTCCCAAAACAATAGTCTTATTTCCATAAATATCCATATCATTATAAAAATATGATTATTCTTTCGTTAAAAATTATATTGTATTATAACAATCAAAATATGTAGTATTATCTGTTTTTATAAATTGTGATAACCGAATCAAGTCAGCAACACCCTAAGGGGTGTGTTTGTTTGGGGAATTTTAAATATACTATTCATTTTATTTTAATCCCTCAAAAATATCAAATCAGATACCTATTTTTCATTTTCTATATTATATTTGAAATCAATTTTACATTCAAAACATCGCATCAACACCTATTCATATCATATCAGATCATACAACTATTCAAACTAAAACCGAAAGTCGTACAAATATACTTGCCGTGGACTGCTGCGTACTTCCAAATTAACACTGTTCATTTCACACGATTTTCAACAAAACGATCACATTAACATACTATTCAAACAATAATTCAAAACAATTAATTTATCAAAAAATAAAAATACAAATACAAAAATCCACCAAATGAAGAAACCCGAGGAATGTGCTCAACATGTATAATTCCGAAAAGATAGATTCAGTGATCACATATATAATAGTAATTCATACAAACCCATCAATATCATATCGACGTTCCCTATTCTATGCTCATGAGATTTTAACCTGGAGGACTAGGAGACACACATTTCTGTATCTATACTCAGCAAAGTAAAAAACACAAACAAAATTTTCTTACATAAAATGAATATATATATATATATATATATTGCTGAAAAATTACATAAAAGGGGTAAAATCTTACACGAGTCATGAAGAACAGCTATGGTGATCAACCTTGATAACTTTGGTATTGTAAGAACCACAGAAGCTGCATTTATGATACAGCCAATGGAATGGTGCTGTTCCTTTTCTATCGCAGTCGTTGCATAGGATGTCCTGACAAATTAATTATTCACCACATTTTAGATAGATAGAGAGAGAGAGAGAGAGATTTGTAGTATTAACAGGTTATGGATTAGTCGAGATGCTCGAACCTGACAATGGTTTCGGTATTCTTCTGGAAGGACCTCCGACGCCATTAAAGCATCAAGCATGCCAAAATAGACCTGAGTTGGAAGATGAATTTCTTAAAACCACTGAGCATGAGATGCACGCCAAGAGCTATCCATACTTAAGCCTCAGTTTATGCCGATACTTTAGAAAGTTTTGACACTATTTATCGACAATAATTTCTTCTTTTTTTTTTTTTTTAAATATCACATCAAATGCCCTATTTCTTAAAGCATCAAGCATGCCAAAATAGGCCTGAGTTAGAAGATGAATTTATTAAAACCACTAATTAAAACCACTAAGCATGAGATGCACCCCAAATTTTTGCCTCCGTTTACAACAATATTTATCAATAGTAACTTTATTTAAAAATATCATATCAAATAAATATTATCTTTCACAAAATATCACTATTTAATACTAATTTTTTTGTACTGTTCTTAAATTTTTTCAGAGCTCCAAAAATCTCTAATATAGATATGACTTAGGCAAAGATTTTCTTTAGCCTCCCTACGGTATTTAAGAGTACATTTTTTAAAAATATGATGTCAAATATTTCTAACAAAATATTGCATCAAAACTAACTTTTTGATATTCCCAAAGTTTTTCAAAACTCCGAAGTGTTTATGTAAATGGAGGTCTGACTAGACGAAAATTTTCTTTAGCCTCCTTCTCACAGTGTATATGAACAGTTTTTTTTTTTATATAAAAAATATCAAGTCAAATACCTATTCTCTTTCACCAAATATCGGATCATATACCAACTTTTTTACTATTTTTAAAAATTTTCAAAACTCCAAAAATATCTATGTAGACAGAGGTCCAACTAAACAAAGATTTTCTTTAACCTCTTCAAGCCAGCTAAATCTTAGGATTGGCAAAATATAAAACATAAATGTTTAGCGGTAACAGAATTTGCGACAGCTTTAATTCACCGCATACTAAAATTAGCAATTTACTAGGAGGATCAGATCCTTACCGACATGTCTCCCATCGACTTGCTGCAAATCGGACAAATGTAATGCGTGCAGGCGTATGCCTGGCATGAACGAGCGAAAACCAGCGATAAATCACGGGCACAAGCACTAGCAGCTTTAAATAAGATCACAAGTTAACGAAGAAAAAGGTAAGGGAAAGTATCAAACCTGGAAACATGCAGAATGCATGTAATGACCACATGGAAGCGCCCTCACGGCCGTACTTGATGTGAACAAGAAGTCGCAGCATATTGGGCAGTTTGTTTCGAGACTCTTCTCCCAGCACCTGTGCTCTACTAGTTTCACCGACAAGCAGCAGTTACAGGTCATGCAGTGGAAGAAGTCGATACCAAGCCCTTTTCCAACACGGCACAAATTGCAGGAAGGGCAATGGTAGACCTCCCTAAGGTAAACACATAAATAAGAAGAAAATTAGAATAAAGGTTAAATCAGCATTATTTAGATAAGCAACCAATCTCACTAATTCTTGTGAACAGTAAAATTGAGGATAGAATGCACATACAATGCACATAAAATACAATTATATAAAGAAAAACGTGCAGAAACGCAATCCAAGCTTATCAATGCAAATTGGTTGAGATCTATTGAAAGCTTACCGCTCATCGTCAAAAAATTTACAGCTGCTGCAGTAATATTTAGCCATTGAGAGTCCCTCACATGCAGGTGTTGCGCAAACTGGCCCAACCGGTTGAATTTGCCGGCATTTCATGCACATCATTTCAGACGTTGCCTTCCTGAAAAATTACAAATAGATATAATTACTTAAAAGATGGTGGCAAGGGGGCTGGATGAGGGTAGAAAGTAGAAAAAAGTACTCAAGTCCAACCTGTCCATCGAGTGGTCACTGACTTCGTCGTGGCAAAACCTGCATGTGAACAACTTCCCGCAGCAAGCAGCAACAAGCTTGCAGTTTCTTTTGTAATGTTCACATCCAAAGATTTGCTTCTCAGGATCACGAAATGATGGGGAACGTCCGAATAAATCTTTACCGTCATCAGCTTTACTAGATTTTGATTGTGAGGATTTCTGCTGAGACGCTATCCATTGACTGAACAACAGTTACACAGACAGTAAGTCAAATGCGCTCAGTACATTAACACAAAAAGGAAATATTGCGATGAAAGTTAACAAAACAGATATTTGTAAGAATGTGTTACCTGGTCATTAAATTCTGAAGGAGATAGGCTTTCCTTCTAGGATCAAGAGTCGAATCACGAGATACCTCCCTTATCTCTGATTCAAGCTCATTTTGATTCATCCGGAATATATCCTTCCACCCAGGTTTAAAAGTGTGGTCACTATGGTCCGTAGAATCATGTGCATCAAAATCTGAAATGAGACAGATATCATTTATAAAGCATCAGCCAAAACACATAATAATGGAAAGTACAATGCCGAAAAACTAATGTCCCAAGTACCTTGTGAGATTTTATTTTCTGACGTGGATGCTTGTGATGATGATGCAGTCGTCCCTTCCCACCATTCATTAAGCCACTCAGAAAACATGGTATTTTTAGTCGCATGCTTCCATGTGTCCATCATTTTATTCTGCTCTTCCTGCGTAAGAGCAGATGTCACCCAGGGTAACATCGATTGGAGAACCTCTGCTCCTGTTGTGCCAATTATACGGCCAACAAGTTTGTCTTGTTCTTCAACAGAAAAATGTCTGTCAAACAATGGCCAAAGCTCAAGCTCTTCACGCATGACATGGTGATCTAAAGTCACCTTGATGGATTTGCACATCCCCTGAATCTTTGTTGCCAGGTCATTATATTTTTTCAAACAATCGACCCGATTGCATGAACCAAATCGACTTTCACCCAAGTTTCCATTCACATTTTTCACATTCAAGTTTTCATGAAGTTGAGAAAGTTCAACCAATGCTGATGCGATATCCTCAAAGAGTTTTTCTTCTTGCTTGTGATCCAACGTATAGGAGTGGCTAACATTATGGAGAGTTTCCTTCGATTCCAAGGCTGGGAACACAATATCATCCTCTGCATTACTATGAGCCCTGTATAAGCCCCACAAAAGGCGAAATCTTCCAGTAAACTGTCTGAGGAAAGTCTCGTTGCATTCACCAAGCTTCCCTGATTCAACATCGAGAAACTCTAAATCTTTCCGGATTGCCTTATGGAACTTAAAAATGTTATCAATTGGACGTGTTGTATGACCACTAATACTGGAGGTAGTGTCAGTCTCCCAGTTGAAAAGGCTAGAATTGAGAGAAGGTGCACTGGGACCAAAAGATAAAGATCGCAACGATTTAGCTATTGTCAAAGAACCCGTTCCGAGGTTGTTCCTGTTGACTCCTAACCCTGGAACACAACAGGATTGGCTAGAGAGAGAGGACTTCTGGAATTCTATCCCTGAAGCATTGCAAGCATCAATACCCATAGATGAAAAGTCTTTCTCCATGTTTGACTTCTCGCACTTGCGTGCTTGCTCAGAAGTGAAAATTCCATTTCTCGCAGCTGCACAGGGACAGTGGCGGCATAACTTATTGAGCTGATTTTGGGTTTCTTTAATATCCTCTGAAGGACAACAACTAATACCACTTGAAGATAAGCAGACCCTTCTAGGATACCCCTTGCATGCCCAGCCAGAGAACAAAGTAACCAAAGCCGTGTCTGATTCTGGAGCTGCAGTAATTAATTTGGTCAGAACAGGCTAAGCATCAGTTGTTGGTGCATAAGTTCGAAGTTTAAGAAGGAAGAACCTACCAGCCATATGCATGTTATAAAGGAAGCACCGAGCTTCCTCTTCGCTCATTGATCTGACCAGCCACGGTAACACACATTCAATTAGTCGAAGTGGCATCACACACAAGCTCTGATACAGGAGTTCTCGCTGCCTTTCAGGGCTGAAATGTTCCCTTGCAAGTGGAAGAACCTGCAGTGCAATTTGAGGAAATTTGCCTTGTTATATTTGAGTCCATGACACCACCACTTTCTAAAGATCCAGATATAGATATTGCACTGGAAGAACCAAATCTAAATTTTTTTGTTGTGTTTAGGGGTTATGGAAATGAAATTTGAATGAAACTTTGTTTGATATGATATGAATGAGTAGTTGATGTGATATTATGATGAAAAATAAATTTTGTATAAGTAGGTAGTTGATGTAATATTTTGAATGAAAATAAATTATATGTAATATATATTAAATGAAAATTAGTGTGTATAGAACAGACTTAAGAAACATAAACAAACAAAAATCTTTTACAATAAATGCCTTCTTCCATCAGGAGTTGACAGCTTGTCAATGCCATACAATAGAACTATACATTCAATAGGTGAAAGATAAAAACATGCAGATAATTTCACCTGAATTTCTTCATTGAGAAAATGTCTGTCTATTGTCTCCATTATGTGATCAGCCTGGGAACATAATTCAGAATAAAATTCTGCCGATGAGTTGGCTCCAGCACTTTCAATACTTTCTATCAAGCATCTAAACTTATCAAATTCGTTCTCTTCTTCTGCATGTTCTTGGACAAAAGATATTTCGGCATCCACTGCAGGGAATATAACTTTGTCCTCAGCAATGCTGCAGCAAAGTTAAATGATATGAATCATCCCTAAAGTGGTATATGATATCCAAAAAACAGGAAATGTTAAGTGTTATCATACAAAATCATCTGCGACACTTGCACCCATCATTGCTGATGAAACTAATCATTACAGTAAAACTAGATTTATAATGCCACAATCAGATCAGTACCATCTTCTAGCCACCTAAACTATTAGATCAGTTCTCTTTCCAAACACACACGTAAATGTAGGACATCTCCTTGACAGTGCAAAAATACGCTCAATAAAGGTATGCTTATATCACATGCCAGCCCCTGCTTCAAAATAGTCCAAATTCAGGAAAATCGTGACAATGAAGAAATCGTATAAGTGCAAGGCTGAAAACATAGTAATTACCTATGGAAAATACAGACTTCAGCAATAAATTGCAGCCTCCTATTAAAGGAAGAAAGATCAGAGAAATCTTCGGTCAGCTTTATATTTCGAGCTGCTTCAGCTATGTCACACAGTTCCTTTTTGATAGCTTTATGCCAGTGGAGTATATCATCCACTGGGTGACAGCCCTGAGACTTTACGACATTACAATCAGACAAAAGAGAAGTGGTGTCTGCAGTCCTAGAGGATTCACAAGAGCAAGGCCCATATTCTTGCGAGCTACTAGAAAGTCCAGGATCATCCTCGCAGCGTTTTCGTTTATTGCTCATCTTTACTCCATCCATCCAGTTGAATATAACCTTCATTAAGAACAAAGAAAACAAGTGAGAACCTCCACATGGGCTTCATGTTTGTGTTTCCAGTCAACTGTCAAAGGCATCTAACCTGCTGAAGCAGCTTTTCATCTGGTATTATTCTGTGCAAGCATTTACGCATATCTTGCCGCTCATCTGGTGAAATAGATGATGAAAGCCATGGCAAGAATTCTGCCATCATATTTACAGGAATGCTGCACAAAAATTGCCAAACTAGTGATGCCTGCTCCTCGAATGAAAACTTTTCATTAAGGAGCGGGAATACCTGCCACGTGTAAAACAAAATATAGTCTTAAAATAGAAAAAATGTTATTACGAACAAAATCAACAAAGATATCAGGCCCATATTTAAGGAATCGAGCACAAGATTCCAACATTTTATCGCCTATATGTGCGGAGTGCGGAAAGTATAAAGTGCGTATAATTCTTCTAACGAACTTGAGTGGATCGTGGACCACGACACCACCGAAACTTTATTTTGATCATTTCAAATGCATTAGCACAGTTGCTCAAAGAATCATGACCATCAATTTTCTTTAAAAATATGAAAAAAAATAAAATAAAAAACAGAGAGATCAAACAACCTGCTCCTCTTCCTTAGACATGTGCTGACTGATTGATGTCTGAAGAGCTCCTGTACAAGAGGCTAACTCTCTCTTGTAGCTTTCCTTATTTTGCGCATCATTTTCAAGCAAAGCAAACAGTTGATCAAAAAGCACACTTTCCCCTTCATGCTCAAGGGAATATGTCCGCGCCACATTCTTCACACGGATATCAAGCGCGGGAAATATAACCTGCCACCAATATGAAATACCTTAAAAGGATTAGCTAGCATGTTCATTTCTTGCTATTTCACAATGATCAAACCAAAAGAAATCCATCAAGAAATATTTTCCCTGCATTTCATTTGAAAAAACAACCAAAATTATTAAATTTAAGTTTAAACTTGAATAAAGGATGGGTTACACATGGCTTGCAGCACTTGTACTTGCGTGAATCCTTAAATTTCTTCAAAATGTTATTAATCTGTCTTGCTCTGCTTGGTATCACCAATTGGTAATCATGAAGAAAAATAGTAAATGAAACAAAATGCATATAAAATTCCGTGGAAATTAACAGTAGTCGAGCTGCAGTACAAACTTTGCGTATTGAAAGAAATAAATAAACCTCACCAACCGCTCAACAACACCAATGGCGTAAGCCTTCACATATTCAATGAAGTTTACATAAAAATCCTTCCAATTTATCATTAAAATCATTCAGTTAGCTGCTAGCCAAACTAATTCACCGATAAAGACAAAATAAATCACCTAAAATTTCTAGGTCCAAAAAACTTTGCTAAAAGTCCTAATACTGCTGCAAATACATCAACTAAATCAACTAAACACCTGATAAAGCAATAACACATACTTTAGCTCAAAAAAAGCTCAATAACCGTCCAAATGACAGTGGAACAAAATTCATCGACAGAAATATGCGCACAAACCTCATCCTCCGCATTGCAGTGGTGCTTGTAAATTGACCTCAAGAAATGACACTTCTCTATCAACTGCTTGAGGTCCCCGCCGCTCCTATTCGTCGCCAAAGCCAAGGCTGTCCGATGAAGCGCATCCAGCTCCGCCCGAATTGCCTTGTGGAAAAACAAAAAAATCCTAATCGGAGACGAAAGCCTCGAGGCGGCAGCAGCGTGACTGCTCTGATCCACCGGCGCCACCACCGGCGAGGCCGGTATCACCGTGACCCCGCCGCCGTTCTGTATCCCCGGCGTCGCCATCCCCCACACAAATCAACCGGACAAAAGGTAGGGATTCTTTTTTTTTTTTTCTCTTCAGAATCTTCTCACCCTTTCAGGAATTTTCTCTCTCCCAGAAATTTATTTATTTTAATTTTTTTTTATCTTTTAATTTTTTGAAAAATAAATTAAATACATATATATAAGAACGAATCCGTAACTTGCGATGGATAATGCACTCACAATTTATAGATGGACACGTGGCGAATAGGCTTTAACTGCGTGTGACGTGGCTCAATGGACCATGTCAGCTCATATTTTCCGTCTTGTCGATTGCGCGCGGCACGTGAGGGGCGGGGCCGGCACGTGTGCTACATCCTCTCTTTTAGCACGCTAATACTCAAATTTACAAAAATTTCAATAAACGATTTTTTAAAATTGGGATCTAAAATTTTTTATTTTAATTTAAAACTAAAATGATGGTTTAAATGAAAATTTAAATAAAATTCCGTACATAAAAATATTTATTTATATGTGTGGGTGGGTGTAACAAGGCATGCGCAAAATGTTTGGTCAGCGTACGAGACGTCCGTGGCGTCACACGTCCAACAGCGTTAATCTTAGAGGGGTTGTACCGTACAAGCATGCAATGCATAGAATTCAATTTTGAGGTTTACGTATTGTACACTCAACTTGGTGTGGAATTTATATGGTTGTGTGTTTGTCGGTGAGGTAACAGCTGTCTTTCGTAGACTATGAATGCGTTTGTTTCGTATATTAGTTTGAATTTATTTATTTTTTAAATAATATTTTAATTTAATACTCCCTCTCGGTCCAAATCGGCCTTTTGTAATTTTACAGTAAATTAAAAAATAATAATATTTTATTAATTATTGGAAGTGTTTAAGAGATTTTGATATTTTGTTTTTTATTTAATGTAAAAATAATTGTATGTAATTATATGTTTATAATTTAGGTAAAAATTAAAAATGTTTTAATATTATTATATGATTACTTTTACTAAAATAAGAAAGTGATATTTTGGAATATAACGGACAAAAATGATAAAAATTGTACTTTGAGTTAAAACGAAAGAAATACTATCTTTAAAAAATACAAAATGTCTATATTACTATAGATATGCAAATTTTAAAAAATATAATTTGTTAATAATTAAAAATTGTATTAACAAAAATAAATATTCTCTCTATATAATTGAAATGTTGTCATTTTTTAATTTAATAATTGTACTACATACCTAATATAATAAATATCATTTCAACTTACAATATATTTAGAGCCGTCAAAATGAGTTGAGCCTGTCGGGTTAGCCTGCCCCGCCTTACTTTTAAGGAGGGTTGGGTTGTGACTTTTTAAGTCCGTTAAAATGCGGGCCTAAATGGGTCAATCGTGTGGGCCGCAGGTTAAGGGTGGATTAGCCCGCAATGGAACGAGTTAGCCCGCGGGCCAAGTAAAATATAATAATTGGTGCTCACTCGTCTAACTAAATTTATCTTTTACCATTTTTTACTGTCACATTAAAAAACTATAATAAAACTAATCAAATATTAATATCACAATATATTTTAATTTTATTTAAATTAAAAATGTACCATTATAAATACAATTAATTTATAAATAACGTACAAAGAGTAAAAAATATCAAAAATAAAATAAAATTTATAGTATAATAAGTTTAAATAAATTATCAATATTGTCTTCACGTTGTTTTTCTTCTCTAACTCTGTTATCCATGTCAGTGTTATTTGTTTTGATTTTTCATCATTTGTTTTGTTTGTCTTCCATTTTATTATTTTATAATTTTACATATTCATAAAATTAATTTTAATTTATTTTTAAATTGAGTATTTCTTATTATTAATTTTTTTAAATCACCAAGTAATAATATTTAGAATTGAGAATTTTTATATTTTTTTTATTTATTTTAAATTATTTATTATTTAAATTCTACAATAAAACTATTTTTAGCTATTTTTAAATATTAATTAAGAAAATATTTATAATGTTAATATTCTTTTAATATTTAAAAAAAAAAACTCGTGGTTTAGCCCGCTTAGCTCGCCACCCGCCTGTGGGTTGGGTTTTGGCTGATGAAATTTTTATCTGTCCCGCCGCGGGTTGGCCTGCAAACAACCCGCTTATTTGCGGGTTAGGGTGGATTGTGGGTCAATCCACCCCACTAACCCATTTTGACAAATCTAAATATATACACATATATCATTATTTTTATATTACGCAATACTAATAAAAGTATTTTTATCTTTTACACTACAACTCTATATAATACTAATATTAAAAAATTTATGTGCAAAAAATAAATACTATTATTTCAATGGGACAGAGGGAGTCTCGTATAATTTTTAAAAAAAATTATAAATTACAAAGCAAATAATTAAATAAACTAATTTTGAAAATTATAAATTATAAAATTTAAAACCTGATTAAAATTTATAATTATTTGCTAAATATAGAAAGATAAAAATTATGTGAAAAGTTATGGGACGACTTAATCAAAATGCTGGATTTCAAATCTTCGTTGGAGAGCAATATACTTTTATTAGAAATTAAGAGTTTTTTTGTTTTTGTAAAATAATTTGAAGTGATATATATATATTTTTAATAAAAAAATATATTTCCTCCGTTCCAATACAATAGTCATATTTATCATTTTTTTCTATTTCAAAATAATAGTCTTATTTTTATAAATAATCATATCACTGTAAACCTACTTTTACTTTTTCATTATTATTACACTATTGTCACTATTTTTTACACTAATACACTTACAAGGGTAAAAAAGTTTTTTACTTGTATTTTTTACCAACTATCAATATAATATCAATATTTCTTAAATTCCATGACAAATGCAACTCAAACTATAGTTCTGTGACAAATGGAATATTATTTTTTCTAACGAATATATTAACATACTTTTAAAATCAAAATGAATCACACCTTTGGTTTTTTATTTTTTTATGTTCTTAGGATTTGCTTAGTCTAGTTTGAATTTGACTTTTTGTTTTAAACAGTTTTGATGTAATATTTTATAACAGTAAATAATATATTTTCTATTAGGACTGATTATGCAATAATGTCTAATTCGAAATTTTTTAAAATAATAGTAATATTTTAATTAAAAAAATAAAGTTAGAGTTTAAAATTTATTATAAAATTAATAATAATGTAATGAGGTAAATAAAAAAAAAAAATAGTAGCAATTTAATTATTATTTCATTAATTATTAAATATGAATAATTTAAAATTATTGATTATAAATAGATTATACGTTATTTTAAAGGAAAAAAAATAAAATAAAATGTAACGCAATTATCGGATGGATTGAGTAATTTTATTATAAATAGATTTCTCAATTCTTACTTTTTAAATATAACTATTCTATCCGTCCCACGTAATTTGTCCTTATTTTTTTATTTTAATCCGTCTCACATAATTTGTCCTTTTTTTTTCGAAAATTAATTATACACTTTAATCATATTTCAAAATTTAAAATTTAATTTTTTTAATTTTAATTAAACTATTTAGTTATCTTAATCTTAATCTATAATTATTTTTACTAATACATTTCTTAATTACTTACTAATTATACTTTATCTAAATTCTCGTATTTACAGTAATACACTTATATTACATGGGACGGAGGGAGTATATATTTAGCTACAAGATCTCTTGCATTGGAACCTATGGTTATGGACCCGAATCTGTTAGTCACGGATGTGTTTGTTTGAGAGATTGAATTTTAAATACACTATTTATTCTATTTTTTTATTTCAAAAATATCAAATATTAGAAATTAATTTTACATTCAAAGCATCACATCAACACCTATTTATGTCACATTATACAACTATTCAAATTCAAAATTTTTACTATTCAAATCCTAACTTAAAATGCAAGCCCCAAACAAACACACCCTTAAGATTTATTAAATAAGTGCAGCTGTTTATTGACCTTTTTTGGTAAGTAGTTAAACTCGTTAGGACAATTATGTACGTTTTTAATTAGTTACTCCAATCTATTGAATTGATTATTTATTTAATATATATATAGGGTAAACTGTTTTTTAGTCCTATAACTGAACTCTTTATCATTTTAGTCAAATGACATGTTGCAAATTAGTCCCATAAGTGAATTTTTTTTGTTGTTTTAGTCCTCCGACGCCGGAGACACCCGCGTGGTTCGCCGGATGTGACGTGTCCGTCAGGTGTCCCGCCAGGTCAGCGACACCTGGCGGACACGTGGATTTATTATTTTTTTTCATTTTTTTTCATTTTTTTAATTTTTTTAAATTGGACCAAATAAAAAAAATACAAAAAAAATACAAAAAAAAATTAAAAATAAGTTTTAAAAAAATAAAAAATAAATAAAAAAAATCCACGTGTCCGCCAGGTCACGCTAACCTAGCGGACACGTCACCTCCAGCGAGCCATGCGGGCATCTCCGACGCCGGAGGACTAAAACAGCGAAAATTTTTCACTTATGGGACTAGTTTGCGACATGTTTCACTTACATGACTAAAATGATAAGGGGTCTGTTATGGAACTAAAAAACCAGTTTACCCATATATATATATATATATATATTATGTAATACTTACTTTCCATTAGAAATAAATTCAAAGCTGGAAATTGATCACTTACCATTTGTAGCGTGATTATGATGAATAATGTGTTTGATTTGTATTTTGTAACTTTATATTTTATTATTTTTTTAATAGGATATCATAGTTGAATATGTATTTTTTAATTTTATAAATCGAATTTTAAAAATTATATAAGATTTACTTGATTGTTGTTTGAAATTAATTTGAAATTGAATGTTGATTTGAATTTTTTTAAATAATATTTATGTGTGATATTTTATAAATATATATGTATATATATATTTATAAAAAACTTTCTATAATAAATAACGTTGATTTCCTTTTGAAATAAAGAGCAAACTCATAGTCATCATGTTAAAAAATAGACAAATTGATTATTGAATAATATAGAGAAACAACAATACTTTTTTGTTATTTTATTTTGATTATTCAACTCTCATCTTTTCAATAATAATAATAATAATAAGTCCTGTAAGGGATGATATGTTGGTGCAGGGGTTGGACTTATGACCGTGACGTCATGGGTTCAA